GCTACGTAGCCCCCAAAAACCTCAGCATGCCTGCTGAGATTGTCAACTTCGTGGCCTCTAAAGGCATAAAGCAGGTGCACATGTTCAGTCTTCTCTCCAGCGTAGAACACAGATTTATGTTCAGTTCTGTTTGTAATATCAGTGTTTTTATAATATCAGTGTCTTTCTGTCGTTTATCAAATGAGACACACGTTCACGTCTTTGGCTGTTTCGACAGGAGGAGTTCAACAGTATCGAAGAGGCCCTTCCTGAAACCGATGTCCTTTACATGACGAGGATTCAGAAGGAGCGTTTTGCCTCTGAGGAGGAATACAAGGCAGTAAGACTCTCTCATATGACTGCATTGTGTTTATGTACTTTCTGTTATGGATGTGCTGCTGCTTTATTTGAAGAATGTTACATATTTCGTTTTCTTTTTCTTTTTTTTTAATAGTGCTTTGGTCAGTTCATCCTGACCCCTCACATAATGACTGGAGCCAAGAGGAAAATGGTTGTCATGCATCCACTTCCAAGAGTTAATGAAATTAGGTATGGTCAAAGGTGCAGCTGAATACGACCTAACAGTGTTTTTGTGCATGTACTTTTAAAAGGTAGCGCATTTTAGGAAAACCATTTTTGGAGCTTATTGCAATTATGTTGATGGTATTATAAGTGTACATACAGTAGAGGTGCACAATATGGAGCTGATAACAAATAACACCTTATTGTGGCAATACCTGTATCAGTAACCATTAATACTTTTTTTTTTTTTATTATAATGCATATATAACGTGTAGTGAACATATTTTAGGTGAGTGTGACATAGGAACTTTGACCAAGGGCTATTGTGTGCTATAATTTCAATATCGGACTGATATTAATTAAAATCTCCCATATGTTGACAAATATTGTCCGCCAAAATATCCTGCCCTGTAAATAATATTTTAAGGCAAAAGATTTTTTTCATTTCTTGTGCTCAAATTCTGGTTTCATTCCACTATTAACACTTATCTTGTGTGCAGTGTGGAGGTGGACACGGATCCTCGCGCTGCTTACTTCCGGCAGGCTGAGAATGGCATGTACATCAGGATGGCGCTGTTAGCCACTGTGCTTGGCCGGTAAAAACCTTGATGAAGATGAAGGGATCAGCTGGTTAAAGGGAACTGATGAGTGCTGCTTAGAGAGAACTTTAGAATAACTTTACGAGGGCAGTGTTTGTGTTTCAATGTCTTTTCAACGCACAACGTCATTCATAGTTATTTGTCCTTAACGTCTTTGTTGCACTGCCACTGGCTGTCACTCCTCATCACAGATCACAACCGTACAGAAATCCTGCAGCATCCTATCCTTATGCAAAACCTTCAGTGTTTCATAGACCATTTAAAAGGACCAGTTAGTGGATTTTTCTAAACTTTCTAAGTAACTGTAGTAATTTGGTAATGTTAAGAAATGGATTTTGACCAAATGAGTCAGGCGTGTAGTTTACACACTGTTCCAGTGCTGCTTGACCAGCAGTAAGCATTCCCATTTTATTGCTCCATTAATGCAAATGAAGAGTTCAGTAATTACTGTTCATTATTCACCATCGATTTACTGTCTTTCAGTGCTTTGCAACAATGTGGTGATTATGAATTTGGCTATTGTCAATTTCTATTTTTAGATAATAAAACCTGATTTTTCACAATCACTGAGCTTTTTACACTCTGCTTTCATTTGACTAAACCCACTTTCTTGTGTGAGTATGAAGTCATATGAATTCTTCATGCTGGGATGTTTTGGGCAGAAAAGACCTCTTCACTCTAGAGCAAATGCAGAAAGAGACAAACAGTCACAGCTGCTATCTAATGTAACAGAAGGGCCAATGAAGGAGGTGAAGAGGTTGATTATTATACACATCATGGACGTTGTTATTGTGCCCTGTTCATTCAAATAGGGTTATAGCTTTAGGGGAAACCGGGGTTGGTGGGCATTGTTACATGTAAGTCAGAAGGGGGAGCTCTCACAAAGTAACAAAAAATTGTTGCCCTCAATCAACACGGTTTTCTATCATTTGAGAAAATCACTAAAGTTCAGCCTTTTCTCTCTCAGAGTGACGCAGAGAAACTTGTTCATGCATTTGTTACAGCAGAGTTGATCACTGTAATGATCTTCTTACTGAACTTCCTAAGAAAACAGTCCATCCTTTACAACTCGTACAAAATACAGCAGCATCAACAAAAACACCACAGAGAGATCAGATCAGTCCTGCTTTAAAAGAGCTGCACTGACTGTCTGAATCGTTCAGGATAGAGTTTAAAGCTCTGCTACTAGTTTTTAAAGCTCTAAATGACCTTAAAGCTCCGCCTACATCACAGAGTGTCTGTTTATGATCTTAGATCTGCAGATACTGACCTACAGACACCTTCAGTAAAACACAGAAAACATGGAGAGACTCTTTCAGTTATTCTGCTTCTAAACTGTGGAGCTCAGTTCAGCTTTTATTAGACAGTCGAGCTCAGAGCTCACTTTTAATAAACATCTGAAAACGCAGCTCTTTAACTCAGAGCTTCATTAAAACTCTACGACTCGTGGTTTTTATCTTCTAATTTGATGTTTCATTTTCTTCTGATTCTAAATTAATACTTATTTCTTGTATAACTTTTATCACCTGTCTGTAAAGCACTTTTAGCTGTCACCAGCATGAAAAGTGATATATAAATAAAAAATATTATTATTATTAACATTCTGAATGTTACAATATGTTGATCTCCTTGAGTAAATAAATTATAGAGAAGATTGTTAGTAGAAATGGCAATCAGTTTTGTTTTGATATATGATCTAAAAGTCAAGGCTGAGTAATGCCAGGTGCAGTATGCCATAATATCCCTGGCATGCCATACATTATGGCAGAGAGTGGTACCAACCAACACCGCTACAGCCCCTACATCACACGTACTACATCATATTAAATAAATTGATCACAAATGTGGCATCTAGCAGGGGGAGCCAGAGCCTATCTCAGCGGTCAATGGGCGGAAGGCAGGACACACACGACAGGTCGCCAGTCCATTTTGGGCCATTTTGAAAGCAGTCTTTGGAAATTCACTGACTAAGCAATCATTTGTGCAACGGGATTTACCTAATAAGCGCCCCTCACGTGGTTTGTGCTTTAGATATATTTGTAAAGAAAAAAATGCACTTTTAATATATACTATAAGACAAAATTATTGGGACACCTACACATCATACCTACAGGAGCTTCTATGAATCCCATTCTAATTCCATATGCATTAATATGGAGTTGGTTCCCCTTTCTGCTCTTCTGGGAAGCTTTTTACAAGATTTTGGAGAGTGTCTGTGGGAATTTGTGGTGAAAACCAGGTCACTCATGAAGAAGGCCAATAAAGGCTGGCATAACTTACATAAGGCTCCTTGACTCTCCAGCACAGTCTGCTGACTTTGAGTATAAGAGTAGCACTAAAAATGCATGGATTGCAATTTGTAGTTCACTGTTGCTGTAATCAGCATAGCGGCCAGTTATATACAGCTATAGAATGTCTAATAGAGTATCTACTAAAGTGAGTTCTGAGTGCTATTTCAGCACGTGAGTCACAAACAGGGTGTGATTCTTTCTCAAAAAAACGTTATGTAAAATTTAGTCTGGTATGTTCAGCAACATTTTCCCTAATTATAACACCAAAAGGAGATCTTGACCATTATGCTAATTTTAGCTATACTGAACCAAAATATAAACACACTATTTACTGAAAACATTTTACTGAAATCTCGAAAAAGAACAGGGTGAGTTCTGCAAGTTTTATCTTCTCTTCAAATAATTAAATACAAGACATTAAAATTATGCTGCAATGACTTGTATGTGCTTTTGTTCAAATTTCAAAATAATTATTTTTACACCTAGAAATTTTAGAAAAACTGAAGATATTTCCTAAAAGAGTAGATAGCAAGCTCTGTGAAATTAAGCCTGCATATCCATACCATACCATCCAATAACTCTGTATATTCGCATATATATATATATATATATATATATATATATATATATATATATATATATATAATTATTTCACATAGAGCAGTTGTAAAGCATTTATAAAATTAAAACTTGAAAACAATGATCTAGACACACAACTCTGGTCTTAGAGGCACGGTCTGATGATTTACCTGCTCAAACACACCTGATTACACTCACTCATTAATCGCCAGCTTTAGTGGGTGTGTTTGGGCAGCGTGGTGGATCCCCTGTGATGGACACCAGCCCTCCAGGACCGGAGCTGTTCACCCCTGAAGTAGAAGAACACTTCAGTATCCCTGCAGTCACTGCTGGGAGACACTGTTATTCAAGCACAACAACAAAACAACTAAAATCACAAAAAAATAAAAGAATAATCATCACACTTTCAGTTGGTTCATTTTAGAAGAAGACTAAGAATACATACTGAACAGCTTCCTGTGTTTCTTATTTTACTCATTTAAATGGCTTCAGGATTTGGCACTGCGGTGCTAGAATGACCAGCATACTGAGAACTGAGGAGCATTAACACAGGTAAACGGCTGATTTCAAAATACAGTTTAAAAAAGATTTACCGAAATTTCTATTTTTCTTTATTTTTTCTGCTGATTAATGCGTCTTATGGTAAACTGAGGGTAGATGGAACCAGTTAATCAAAATGCACATTTTAAGTCTTTTATGCATCAAAAAGAAAAATTACTGACGGAGAATTAAAGTATCATTCAGATTAATAACTGCACGTTATTCATGACATAAATGAATCTACTGGATCGTCTTGATGTGCAGGAGACTGGCTGAGTGCTGCTCGTAGTTCGAGCTTTTGCTGTGGAACCAATTAATATAAACTCGTTCCAAGAATCGACTCGGGTGTCTTCCATTTCAACGGCGCAGACGGGCATTACACGACTGGGAGTCGATTCCTCAGGCTGCAGTCGAGCCGAGTCACGCGGCCACTGAATCGCAGCGAACTAACCCAGCACAGGCGAGGAGTCGACTCTTCTTGGAACCGAGTACCAGAACCGAACACGGGCTCGCACATCGGTGTGCGCTTTCCAGGGAGGACCTGCAGATTCCGAAATGAGGAAGTGCAGCCAGAACGTATAAGGAGCACTTCTGCTGAGTTCTCTATGATTCAGCAACGGACTGAACAGTCGTTTCCCGCCGTTTCAAGGTGAGTTCGGGGTCCGAATCCGAGGCGCAACCACGACTTGGAGATTAGCCGAGCTGCTGGACCGGACAGGCCGCGGTGTAGCCGGTTAGCACGCAGGCTAACAGCTAGGCTAGCTGTGTGTGGCTGCTTATCCTCAGACCGGCCGATGCTCTCGGCGCGGGGTGGTCAGCAGAGGCTCCTCCGTTTAGCTGCCCCGTTTATTCGGTTTACCGTGAATCAGGTTGGGTTTGTATCTCATGTCGTCCCGAGTCTGTGGAGGTTGAAGTTTCTGGCGTGTTTTCCTCACTAACGGAGCTAACGCTACCGATAGCCGCACTAACCCTGCACCGGCCGGGCTGAGGCAGATGGATCTAGCCGGATAGCTACGGTTAGTCCAGCAGGACATCTTGCTATCTAGAACCACTGTGTTCACCATTTTGTTCACGTTAGGCTTTTATTCTATGAGTCGAGCTAAAAATCTGCTTGACCTGAACAGAATTCCTAAGAAAAACACGATCTGAGAAAGTAATCTGCACTCGATACGAGGATTAGACGGGGATTATCGTTTTACAAGGACACGGCGGAGGCTGGTCAATTGATAATGCGCCTGTATAGGACGATCAGGACACGAATAGATGTGAACATGCCATAGACTTCAGCTCCTGGTTTACAGTGTTAAGCGCTGTAAGGAGACGCTCCACTGGGCGATTCAGTCGGTCAGCAGCGCTGGGTGTGTTCACTCCAGCCCGGCGCTGGTCTCGGAGCAGCTCTGCGCTGTGTATCTTAGTATTGACCTGCTGTAAAACTCCGATTTTCACCTCGAGAGGGGCCGATTAAGTAGCTTTGGAGGAGCAGACAGCAGTTTAAAATGTGCGGCATGGTCAGGTCCAGGACTGAGACCCTGTAGCGAGTCGTAAAGGTGCGTTCACCTCAGGTTTCTGTGTGCTTTGCAGACCTCTGTGGATTTGCATGCCGTGGCTGACAAGAAGAACACAGGCCTGCTATGGTCCGGTTTCGAGCATGGCTGGTCATCAGTTTTCTAGATGTTAACCACGTTTTATTACCTCCCAAAGTCACCTCCAGGGTATATTTTGGTTTTTCCATCTGAATTTACATGACCAAATCGTAAGGCAAATTATTCAGTAAATGTATGAAATTAATGTAAATTTTTATTTTATTTATAATTTTGTTTTTGTAAAAGCTCCCCTCAGATTAACAGAACGTGTTTTATGATCATACACATATTGATATATACTTACGATTCACTGCTGAAAACCAAAAATCTTAGACACTCTGTATTATTTTATAAAAATAATGTTTACAGTGCAGATCACTGAAGAGACGCCCTCTGTTTATAGTTTATAGCCCAGATTTGTGGAAAAATGGGTCGACTTTCAGTAGAAAAAAAAAAATTGTGAGTTCAGCTTCTTTTATTATAAGGGTTTAAAATTACATCACCATCTATTAGACTGGAAAGAAGACAGTAACAGCCTCATACAACCCCCACCTTTAGAATGTAGCTTATGAATTATGAAAGTTATGAAGAATATGACGAAGTGCGTTTTGGAACCACCGGTGGTCTCAAGGAGTTGAAAAGGGTAAAGTGGGACAGGAATACAGTTTAGAGCAGGGGTTCTCAACCCTTTCCACCCCAATGCCCACCTGTTTATAACTATAAAGCATAGCAGCCCACAGAAAAACTAAAATCAACTTAATTTTTAATAATTTTTTTTTCATTGCTCACACTGAAAACCTGTTAATTAGCGCCTGAAAAAAGATCAAATCGTCCATTTCACACCAATCACAAAAAACTAAATTTTAAAAAACATAACGTTTCAAAACGTTTGCAGAGATGTCAAAACGGGAAAAAGGAAAAAACGTAGATGTGGGCTGTGATTTGGAGCTGTAGTCCATCGCGATTTCTCTGAAAACTCTTACGGCTCCCACAGACTCACTGTTTGGTCTGGAGTCTCTTTAGTTTTGAGGGTTTTAGTGCCTCGTTTGAAATGAACCTCACTAAACTCGCGCTTTTGGATCAGCGTCGCTACAATCAACAATAATAATAAAGTTTGATCTCTGTTTCTTTGTCAGTAGTGTATCAGTTTGAGTTTATCTGCTCGTGTCGCTGATTCTCGGCCAGAAATGGCTGACTGTGCAGTTCCCCGCGGCTGCATCGTCTCAAACTGATGACGTCTGATTAGCCTGCGGCTGCAGGGTTTTTGTTTTTACGTCTCTACCGGCCCACTGCGAACTACTGCCTCCCCCCGAGTTCAGGCCCGCGGACCACTAGTGAGTGCTTCACAGCCCACTGGTGGTCCGCGGCCCACATGTTGAGAAACCCTGGTTCAGAGTGACACACATTGACAGGATCGATTAGGCTGAATACTCTGTGGGCACAGTCTGGCACTCACAGGAGAGGTAGGCTAATCATTTGCTGGAGGTCGGTGTGTCCACAACTGACGCCCTTTAACCTTGTTTAACTGAGGGAGTATGAATGGGAAACCTCTAGACCAAAGATCTGTACATACAGACCTTGAACAGACGTTTCCCATCCTGGATTTTGTAATCGCTGGTAGGTGAGACACTAGGATGGTCAATCAGTTACTTCAGTTTAGTTAAATACCGGTGATTAAAAATCCAGGACTGGAAACTGATTCACTGAAGACCTGTGGTCTAGATCAGGGGTGACCAGTCTTACCCGTAAATGGCCAGTGTGGCTGCAGGCTTTCATTTCAAACAATCAGGAGCTCATCTGATTCTGCTCGTTAAATCAGTTTGTCTCAGTAACGAAGCAGTTGAAGCTCCTGCTTTGTTGGAATGAAAACCTGCAGCCACACTGGCCTTTTATGGATACAATTGGAGACTCCTGCTCAGGACCCCCATGGACCCTCACAGAGCAGGTACTATTTGGGTGGTGGATCATTCTCAGCACTGCAGTAACACTGACATGGTGGTGGTGTGTTAGTGTGTGTTGTGCTGGTCTGAGTGGATCAGACACAGCAGTGCTGCTGGAGTTTTTAAACACTGTGTCCACTCACTGTCCACTCTATTAGACGCTCCTACCTTGTCAGTCCACCTTGTAGATGTAAAGTCAGAGACGATAGCTCATCTGCTGCTGCACAGTTTGTGTTGGTCATCCTCTAGTCCTTCATCAGTGGTCACAGGACGCTGCCCACAGGACGCTGTTGGCTGGATGTTTTTGGATGGTGGACTATTCTCAGTCCAGCAGTGACACTGAGGTGTTTAAAAACTCCAGCAGCACTGCTGTGTCTGATCCACTCAGACCAGCGCAACACACACTAACACACCACCACCACCACGTCAGTGTTACTGCAGTGCTGAGAATGACCCACCACCCAAATAGTACCTGCTCTGTGAGGGTCCATGGGGGTCCTGACCACTGAAGAACAGGGTAAAAGGGGGCTAACAAAGTATCAGAGAAACAGATGGACTACAGTCTGTAACTGTAGAACTACAAAGTGCACCTATATAGTAAGTGGAGCTGATAAAATGGACAATGAGCGTAGAAACAAGGAGGTGGTCAGAATGTTATACCTGACCGGTGTGTGTTTAAAGTCACCTGTTTGCATTCGTTCCTAGAAGCGAGGCCTGGTATAACCATGATTCGTTCTGCACTATTTGCAGTGAAAACATCTCCCAAAAGCTCTATATGAAGAGCTTTGAGGTGTGGTCATGTTTGTTCACTGTCATGTCCAGGCAAATAGACTTGTGTTTAATTACAGTATGAGCAACTAAAAATACCCTCAGTGACCGTAGCTGGACAGACAGTGGTGTTGGGTTACAGTTAATGGAGAAATGCTTGGTTGGCAGCCACTCAGCTTCAGTATTATATGGGTGAATATTACTCAGGCAGTTTGGGTCTTTCAGTTAATAACACATTTTAAGGCTATCAGCAATTCATTATTGTTTCAGTGCTGTTTTCTATTAGTATGTCCAGGGGAGGAATCTCTAGGCAGCCCACAATTTGATTCTATTTTGATTCAGATAGCCATGGTGCAGCGGTCGGCAACTCTTTTACTGTCCTGTTGCTCCACAGCAGAATCAGATTAGTAGGTATAAATAAAATAATCCTCCTTTACAGTAAAATAAAGCTCTGCTGATCGTTCAACACAGTTTATCAATAAATGGTCTTAAACTCTGGAGTTAATGTAGAACTGCTGATTCACCCTTTCTGCGCTGATCTTCAGGGTTCGTTAACATTTTACAGTAAACGGTTCTACTTTTGAGGAAAAGTTTCCTGCCGAAGATGTGAGAAAAGCAGCTGTAGCTGAGCTGAAGCTTAAAGCAGAGTAAAGTAAGTCTGAGTTTTTGTTCATGTATTTTTAACTTATACCAGATCATTAGCACTCAGACTATTTACAGCCAAGATGGTAAAACGGACTCTACGTGTTGTGGCTCCTGAGGTGGATTGATTTTTGTTGAAAGGACAGAATGGCTCTTCGTAACGTTTGGGTTGCGACCCCTGACCCAGTGTGATTATAAAACTCTCTTTGCGTCTCTGCAGCCCGTGTTCTGAGTTTTCGTCCCCCTGTGTATTTGTCATTGACACGTTTTGGCTTAGTCGAATTTGATTGTACACTCTGCGCACTTGAGTCTGTGGGTCTGTTTCACCATCTGATAGTTTTAATAATTTATTTTTGTTTTTTGTGTCGTGTATACATCAGAAATATTGGCCTCACTCTCTCTGGGTGGGTAGGATTGGCCCCCCCTTCTCCCCCCATCTCTCAGCGCAGGCGTCCGTTAGCTGACGTAACCGATCTGGTGGTTGGCACTTTCCTCCAGTGGCGCTTCACAGGTGTTGGAGGAAGCCTGTGCTGCCCTCACCCTCCTAGCGCTGATGGTATCGTGTGACTGGGGGAGTCCAAACTAGTCGGTGGAATTGGAGACGACAAGTTGGTTAAAAAAAAAAAATTGGCTGATGAAACGTTTAATTTTTTAAAAACAGCTCTAAACTTTGAATACTACTGGATTAGCCTGTTAGCAATTCGCTAGCCTTCTTGTGGTCACGCTTACTGTGATCTCAAGCCTTTTTATTTCATGTACATGAAAATTGTGACCATTTTATGACTGTTTTTTGTGAATCAATTCACAACCACAAAAGATAAATGACAAAGGCAAGCAGAGAAAGTAGCCTTGCCACGGCTGTGTCTTATGTCTGTCTAAGCTTAAGACGTTTGAGTGAAGGGCGTGTGTGCAGCAGGCCGAATCTTTGTCCTTTTCTTACTTAGTTTATCTCAAAAGAGGTTAAGAGAATCAATAGGCCTGACTCTGACGTCATAAGAGCTTATCAAACAGCCGATAGTTTGTCTGTCGGTTATTCACTCATTCAGCAACAAGAAGGGGTTTTAGTGTTGCGTCAGACGTGTTAGTCTGCGGTTGCTCATGCTGACGGGAGGAGTAATCTCTTTTGAGATCAGCAGTATTTAATAATCGTCTTTAGCGGAGGTATTACAGGAGTGCGCTGGCAACCCGTCGCTCAGCCATTGTTCTGTGCTCCAGTTCTTCCCCCTTATACGTCTGAACAGTGTCGTGTTCAGGTCTTAACAGGATTAACTTTTCGTAGTACACCTGCAGGACAGTTGATCAAAACAGTGTTTGCCTGCAGGGCCTCCTGCAAAAATGAAGTTCTGTTAACTTGGGCTTGATAGTGTGGCAGATTAGCACAAGCCTTGGAGCTGTGAACGCTTCCTTAAGACTAGCTGGGTGTAGTACACACCCCACAGTTCCCTCATGACTACCAGTCGTACATGTGGTGCACACGACTGTCTGTGGTAAAGAAAAACATTGGGGAATAATATTTAAAGGAATATGACTTAATAAGATATATAACTTCATATGATGATTTTCTGATAATCTGTGTAACTGAATTTAATAATACTTACTGAACCTTTAATGTATTTGTTTGTTTTTACTTTTTTAAAGCAGTAAATCATGGCAGAACCCAGGCAGCCCTCTGACCGGCCTCAGAGGAAGATGTCCACTTCAGGAAACAGCTTGTATAAAGTGCTAGGTTTAGAGAAAGGGGCTTCGGCAGAGGACATTAAAAAGGCGTACAGGTAAGATCCCTCACTGCAGCGAATAGATAAATAATTATTTTTGCTTGCCTTTGCTTGCGTTCCACTGATTTGTCAGCTTCTCAAGATGTGACAAAAAACCCTGAGTATATAAAAAGCGCAGCATATGCTCTGGTTATATTTTTAGAAATTCACTTATTTTGATGCTCTTGTGAAAGAGAATAGCAGAGACATCCAGGCTGGAGCCTTTGGAGTGATGCCTGGACATGGTTGAAGGTTTTGTGCCATAATATTTTATTTTTAGTAAGCAGTTGATTATATTGCTTTTGTTTATGCATTGATAAATCTAAACTGTTCAATTTTTTATTTAAAGATCTTATTTTAATAAATAAATGATTATATAAAGAAATAAAATGGTTCACACTGAAAAGCCAAGATGTGTTAGTTGTGTGAAGTTTCCTTGTTTAGTTATGCAGTGGAGCTACAAGGCTAATACAACAGTAGCCTATAATAGAAGTCTGTATTACAGAAACGTCTTAAATCTGAACTCTTATCTGTTTAGTTACCATGACGACTTCAGTTAGGACTGAATTTAGGACAGAAGCTGTAACAGAACAACAGTCATTAAGGTCATGATCTTATTCTAACTCCAGATAAGAAAAACAGGATTACAGAAACATCCTACCTGGACTAAATCTCCCAAATTCTGTCCTGACTTTAAGACCCAGAGGTGTCTGAACTTCTGTTTCTATCGGTTACATGTATCTACGCTGAAAACTGAGCTTTGATTTCTGCGTTTTAAAGATCTCAGACGCTGCAGACTCGATCTCCACCGCCCCTCTGATCACCTTCGTGTGTTAATGTTGATGATGAAATATTACAGTGATGGTGGTGAATAATGAGGAGGCGGAGCTGAACGTGTGTCTGTTTATTCGGAGGAGTAACGTTAGCGCGCTCGGCTAAAGCGTTTGGCAAACTTTAACTTGAAGTTAAGAGTATTGTGACATCACAGTTTCAGTTCATCACGCTTTAGTTTTGTTTAACCTTTTTTACATCAGTAACGGTAGCTAACTGTCTGGCTAACTAACTTCCCAGACAGCGAGCGTATATCGGTCTGCTGGTTTGAAAAGGTCGGCACCCCAGTGACTGTTTGCCACTGCCGGTCCCCTTCAGACTGACCAGATTATTGTCCTGCATACAAGCTCTAACTAGTTTTTAATCTCCTCAAACAGATTTTAAATGCACAGCGACTTTTACTTTAGAAAATCAATTTACACAAATTTTACAAACAACTGAGAAAAAAATGACCAGGCCTGATATAAAATGATTCTATAGAAAATGTTGTTGGATTAAAATTATTTATTAATCTAATTTACAAAGTTTAGCTAAAGGAAGGAAGGAAGGAAAGGTCTGTAAATTGGACTGTGAGGGAGAATGAGTGATGATAAGTGGACTTTTGTCCAGTACTCTGCTTAACCGCCATTGGACCGCCAGGAAAACGCTGAGCAAAACGCCAGTGGACCACCAGCTGTCCTCTTGCTATCAGCGTTGTTTGTTTATGATGATAACTTGTTTACGTTTAGCTGTGCACGTACGGTCAGATGTTGGGTAGCAGATATGACCGTTGATCTTGAGAAGATGCTGTGAGATCAGATTTGCTTCTGTAATACGAATTTGTGAAAAGTCTTATCTTGTCCTGTCAGATCTTAAGACAAAAAGGTAGGAAATGTCTGTAATACAGTCCCTGTAATAGAAGGCTTGTGAGTGTAAAACTACAAAAAAGTGGACTTTGGACCCTGAAAGTGTCTTGACAGGTCGACTACATTTGGGGTAAGAGAAAAACTGTGAATTTGACATTTCGGGGTTTCAGTCATTCTTTAAAACTATGACACCAGTTGCTAAACAGCTGAATAGCCTAAGAACAACACTTGCAAGGGCTTTATCTAGTTTATTAATTTAACAAGCAATTCTTTTTAGGCTGTTAATGTGTTAAGATTGTGAGCAGCCTCTCAGATCATATTTATGGCACACACCCAGACCAGAACTGCCTGTTAGACCAATCAGAAGCAACTAAACAGCCACATGATGCGTTCATGGCTGTCTGGCACACTGTGTTCAGTGTTCAAGCCCCTAGCCAAAGAAAGTGGATATACTGTGTCTTGAAGGCCAAAAATAGGCCTGGACCTTTAAATAGGCCTGGAATTTATAGAACATAATTACATTTTAAATCATGGTCAAAATATTGGTCTGAAAAATGCCATTTAGATGTTTTGCTCAAATACAGCTGTAGGTTTTAATCCGTCAAATTAGCCCAATCAGCCCTGATATTTCATATAGCTCAGTTCCACTCGTATATCAAAACAAATATGGATCAAAATGGGCCGGCATGCAAGCAACTTTTGTGTATAGCTCAGTTAAAACACTGACCAGTTGGACCTTTAATTTCTAACCACAGAGATACTGTGGATCTCTTACATTTACATTTATGGCATTTGGCAGACGCTCTTATCCAGAGTGACGTACAATTTTAATCATTTTACACAGGTAGGTGAAGGTGGTGTTAGGAGTCTTGCCCAAGGACTCTTATTGGTATAGTGTAGGGTGCTGCCCAGGCAGGGGATTGAACCCCAGTCTACAGCATACACTACACTATACCAACCACCAAGATTCCTTACGGAAAGCTGAACTGGGCTTCATTCTCTTTTCCACACAGGAAACTTGCCCTGAAATACCACCCGGACAAGAACCCAGACAATCCTGAAGCTGCTGAGAAGTTCAAAGAGATCAACAATGCCAACTCCATCCTCAACGATGAGACCAAGAGGAAGATCTACGACGAGTATGGCTCCATGGGTCTTTACGTCTCTGAGCAGTTTGGAGAGGAGAGTGTCAAATACTACTTCCTCATGTCAAAGTGGTGGTTTAAGGTAAAAGCTTGGTTTAAAGTTGATTTTGATTTATTTTTCCACAGCTGAGAAGGAATCTGGATCCTTTTCAGTAGCAGGGCAGTGAAGTTTGAAATGATTAATGCTTTGTACATTAATTTAGATCTGATCTCTGCTGTTTTAAAAGTAACCAGAATAACTGAGACTAAACAGAACATTTTATACCTACCATAGTGTGCTTCCGTTATGTGGCTGAAGAGAAGGCGAGCAGATGTTCTCTGCAGTCAGCTTTGTTCTCAGAGCGTCAGCTATCAGCCTTTCAGAACAGTCTGCCTTTCACTTCGTCTGTTAGAGTGGCCTTTGATCCAGGAGGCAGCGTATCCCACAGTAGTCTTAATGTAGATGGTGAGGTGATTCAGTTTGAGTCAAGGACCTCAGCTTACTTTGATCTATATGGGTGAAACTCCACCTTGCCAGAAAATGTGATGTGCTGCGAATGAGAAATGCACTAGCTCTGTTTTCTCGTACTGGCCCTGGTATCTTTGACGCCAGCTCGATGCGTTTTCACAAAACACGCTTTAAAGTCTGTGACGGTTGATGATGACGAGGAGGTAATCTTAGCACAGAGCGTGTTTGTCCCTTTGGCCTTGAGACAAAGTGCACTGAGTGGCTGATGGAGTTTGATGAGTCTCTGTGAGAGGACGATGGCTCATCTGGGGTCGGCATCTGTTCCACAGGCGATGGCGCTGTGCTGCACGCTTTTCACCTGCTGCTGCTGTTGCTGCTGCTGCTGCTTCTGCTGCGGGAAGTGCAAGCCCCCCGAGGACGACGAGAACTACCAGTACGTGGATCCAGAAGACCTGGAGGCTCAGATCAAAGCAGAACAGGATGGGGGAGGTGAGTTGACGTGATGGTGTTTCTGTATCATCTTGCTTCATTTGGACTGGCTGGGGACAGTTAGAAATCTAGAGGTCGGTCTCTGCCACATGACCCCTTTTCTCCAGCCTCGTGGTCTCCATATTGATATGTAACGGTCACTTTCCTTCAGGAGCACTGGCTGTGTTTACATGCAAAGATTTTTGCCAGTCTGATTGAAAAAATTACAATTACAGATTAAGACTGAGGTGTTTATTCTCCCTCTACTCAACAGTCTGATGGAAAATGTTCGTTTTCATGCTCACTCACTGATCCAAAATGATGCTCATGTGTGGAGAACCCCTTAGAGTAGAGTGAGGTGAATTTTCAGTTGGCGTACTTGTTTTTAATTCCTTTAAAATGATGTCAGACCCAGGAAAACGTCCTTCACATGTCCTTATTAAAGAAGGCCGAGAGGAAGACGTCGTGTTCTGAGACACATAAGCTGGACGTCCGTCCCACCGCCGTCTTTTAAAGATCAGAGCATAAACTTCGTCTCCTCTGCAGACCAGTTTCTGCTCCGCCATGTTGAACGGTATAAACTCTCACTATGACGCGACGAACATGATCAGAACAGACTTAAACTTTCCGATAGGGAATGTAATCAGATACAGGCGTTTACACGGATATTATTCTTCTATTTAACAGATTATTTACAGGATTACCCACCTCGATCAGTCGGATAGAAACTGTATTCCGAATGGCCTCAACCGGACTAGACTATTCTGATTGAGGTGTATATATGGACGTATTCTATTCCGATTGAGCGATTAGTAGGATTATTAATGGATTAGTAGGCTGCATGTAAAGGTGGCTAATGACAAAGAAAAGGGGACAGTGAGGGGACAAGGAAACAGAGATGTCTGATTCACCCTTCATTCTGATCTAGCACATGGGGCAGAAGCGGTGTTGCTTTTATACGTTACTTTGGGCAACAGTTAGAAAACAAAGCTGACTAATTGTTGACATAGGATTTTTTTTTTTATTATTTAATTTTTTTTTTTTTTTATTGCATCCTATAATGTTCACACACTCTCAATAAATAAATATTATAAAGGTGCTAAACTGTCACTGGGGTGGAACCCTCGAGGGTCCATCTCAGTACCTTTAGTCAGGGAACATAACTGAACCATAATCCACTGAAATGATATGTTCTAAGCTGTACTGACTCCACACACCCCGTCTCGCCTCCAGGCTTTTATTTTACTGTTCTGTTTAAAACATTCGGTTATGAAAAGGTACAAATACGAACTTTTCACCTGGAGAAACTTATTTAAGGTTCACAATCAGACCTTAAAACCACTGTTGGAGCTTTGAGGGAACATTTACACTGTTTGTACCTTGATGAATGGAAAATGTACCTGAACAGAACCTTTATTTCTAACAGTGTCGGTGCGTTAATTCAGTATATTCAATATATTCTGTGGACATGGTTGTGAAAAAGTGAGAAAGTCAAGAAAGCAAGACCCACAAAAGTTAGAACACAAAAAAGTGAAAGCATAAAACGCAGAAGTGGAGGTCGCGTTTCTCAGAAACACAATGTTGGTGCCCAAACAAGTTCCACTGTGTTTTCTTCTCCCGCTGATTCTGGGTAAGTGCCTGTAAAGTTTAGCTGCTGGTTGGGAAATACAGTGTCTCACAGAAGAGACAAACTAAGTTGTCCCAGAGAAGATAAGTCGTAAACGAGGCTGTGCGAAGTGCCTTTTAGGACACTTTCAGGACGATGAAGTTGCGTTAACACTTAAAGCTTTGGAATAGTTGCAAAGACATCGTTCATCTAGCTTGGGTGAACAATATGGAGTAATTGTAAAGACACTCGCCGTGTCGTCAACATGGCCGTTCGGCGAACTCCTGGACAAACATTCTATGTGACAAAGCCTAAGATTGTTTGGGTCAAACTCAACAGCCTGAGAAAAAGAGTAGACAGTACATCACAGAGAGAAAGTGATTTTGCCGTAATGCAAACTTCACGCGTATCGTGTCCCTTTGAGTATACGAGGCTCAAAAACTGTAAGATATAAGTAATTCAGCGTTGTTTTTCATTTTGGAGACTTAAGTAATTATAACCTTTCTTTTATCCTTTATAATTCCTTGTGTTCAGTCACACTTTTGGTAGAGACTACTGCTGTCTGACGGTTTTGGATTCCACGGCATTTTAGTAAAAGAATTTCAACTGAGAAATTAATGTGACCGTAACCAAGAGAAATTTAATGTCCTCACCTTTCTGGTGTCAGTAATTTAGGTTTGTTTCTCACTGAAAAAGGAGCGTAATCATTAGATTAATTGATTAATTGTTGTAGAAGTAGGCATTAGTTGCAGTTCTGTTATTCTAGTCAGGCACAAAGAGCAGCTGTAAATAAAGCTTGGAGTTAATTATAAGCAGTAGATCATGTCTGGGGATGCAAGTTGTTCCTCATTTTGGATTTGCCAAATTGCTTTGTAACCAGTTTATCAAAACATGACTATCACTGTCACACACTGACGGTAGTTCTTGCGTATTGCAGACTGCTTCGACTGTAAAACAGCAACAAGAACAAAATCCTCATTTTGTCCACTGCTTGAGACCGCTTCATGTTTTCTCAGCCTACCTGAAGCCGGTTTGCCTTGACGTGTAGTATGGAGATGAATGAAGTGCCGAATGAGGCAGCGTTCCTGCTAAGGGCCTTTTTGTCCTTGGCCATCTCTCTGGTGGAGATGAGTCATCTGCAGGATCGCTCTTCCACTGGCTTCTAAGTCAATCATCTGAAGTACTGGAACATCGTTTGGCGACTTGGTTTGGTTCCTGTCTGAGGCTTTTGACAGATGATGCCGAGTGCAAGCAAGGCCATGTTTCGGTTCAGCGGTCTGTGACATCTGTTGTGTAGGAAATGTATGGTTTGTTGTAGAGTAACAACAAAAATGGGTGTTTTTAAACCTTAATTTTTAAAGCTGCTCTATGTAACATTTTATTAAAATTAAAAGAAGTGGCAGAAGAAGAAAATCCAAGATGTAGTATCCGTGCGCTGCTGCGATTCACCCTGTAAAGCCTGAAATAATTTAAGGTCAGGTGTGTCGAGTCAGGTTTCAGATTTCGGGAGTTTATAAACAACGTCACGCCTTATTAACGTCACACGCACAGGCTCAAAAAGATGGTCTTGCTCGAGGTCTCAAATGCAAAGCCAACATTATACTGATGAAGATATGATGACAATAGTATCCCCAAAACCTACATAGTGTAGCTTTAACAGAGACAAACGGATTCTGATTTACAAGCCTCACTTATTTACTGTTGGATATGTGGCTGTGTTGTATATATTTGTGTATGTGTGTCTTATTTAAAGGTACACTTTTTTTTGGATGTAGGGCCTGACTGTTAAACTGGTTGACCATTATTATTAAGATATGTATTAAGATTACATGGATTTATCATTATGGACAAGAATGCTCCTGATAAAATACTGATTTTAATAAGCAGCTTATTTCATATTGAAATTAATAAAGTGCTCTAAAATGAGTCACTTAATTGTGGGGAGTTTAATGGTTGGAATCCTTTGCAAAAACTTTGCAACTGGCACCAACCAAGTCCTCACCTTTATTACAGTAATACAAGCTTAATTGGCAGATTTGACCAGTCAAGCACTGCGTATTTAAAACGATTGTAATTTTTGATTATATATTACTATATATAATCACAATTGATATTTGACCTATTTTCATAATGGTCTGTTCTAATTTTGACAGTATGAGCTAAAATTATTAGTGTTATCAATACAAGTAAAGAATTTTGGTCATATAGTTTTGAAATTCCTCTTTAAAGTATTAATTAGTGTACTAGTTGAAAGTGTAGCTCTTAGCAAGCTTACTAACTTAACACGTAAATAGACATAAGTAAGTCTAGTTTTTGAACCTGTACGTTTGAATTGACACTGTAACAAAAATAACTCTGCTAATGAGTGTAAGTGTGTGATTTTCTTTCACTGGGCAGGTGAGACAATAATAATTGTTCAGCCCATGCCAAGTCCAGGTCCAGAGAACCCCAGTGACGCGCTGCCGGAGTCGAAATGACTCGTAAGACTAACCTGTTCAAATATCACACTCCCGTCAGCACACACTCCTTCAGTACACACTCGGTATTACTAATCAGCTGCCTGTGTCTGTCTCTCATTTCATCTACTTTGCCGTGGTTTGCTGCTTGTTTGTTGCATGGCGATTAATCCCTGGACGTTTGTGTTTACTTCATCGTATAAAATATGAGATGGTCTGCGATTAAAACATTGCACCATTGCACCTTGGTTGAGTTTTCATGGGCATGGATTGGGTGATCACTGAAGTGTTACACAGTGTGAAACTCAGATTTGCCTTGTGTTTGATCAGACCTAGTAAAATTAGTTGCTTCTACATCAGCATTCAGTACTAATCAATACAGTTTCAAATCCTGAAACCTCGTCTGTTTTTCAGAGACTGAATTTAATGGTCTAGTGAACAGAAGTGGTAGAAATGATATCTGAATTTCACAGTGTTACCTAATCAAATATGGGACAAGCTTTGTCCCCTCTGCCCAATATTGGAACAGTACATCGTCTAAAAGGCTGCCAAAAATATCAAAGCTTCGTGTATTTTAGTTTGAGTCAAGATTACACCAAGAAGTACTTAGTGTTTATATTTTTGGCATTACTGTTACTGGCACTACTTGCGAGACTCATTTTGGGACGTCAGTGCAGTCTTTACTTCAGGTGCCGCTCCAAATTATAAGCCAGCTAGCATGTTCTTAATCGCACATATTACTGAGAATAAACGAGACCTGTAGGAAAACTATTCAGACTGCACTGCATGTTAAAGCCAGTGTTCTGAGTGGCTTTAAAACCTTGATCTCTGCACTGTTCTCTGGAAAGAGCTGACCAAACCGTTAAAGACGATGATTAAAAAGACGCTGTTTTCTCTGCTCCACTGCACTGCATGTGTGTTCAAACAGAGCCGGCAACCTGTTCAGGGTTGCCAGATTGGGCAGGACCCCAGTGTTAGTGTTTTCATCCAACTTGCTATGAAAACTATCAGTGATGTTTATTCATTATCTTGTAGCATGTCAATTAAGTTTTATTAAATCACAAAATAAATAAATAGAATTTATACCATGGTGTATAATAATAAGCCGTAGTTGAAACAGAATGAAGATCTAGAATTACCACATTTAAATAATACTCAAACTATAAGTACAGTGATTTTTGTTCAGTGGAATACATACAATACTACAGAAAACCTAGATAATTGAAACCGGAAATAATTGTGCTCTCTTTTAATGAAGCATACAGTTTCATTCAAGTACTGAGTATCTACATGTTCAGAAAAGCTTATTGTGACATAAATCCTCACAATGATGATAAAGTATCGTCATATTGCTCATCTTTACTGTAAGTTTCCGTCTTTGACAAGTTAGTGAGTGTAGGAGCTTTAAGCTGTAGGACTCAGACAGACATAATTGGGTCTTAATGTGCAGCAGTGAGCCTCGGGCTGTCATTGCAGTAAGTGAGACGGGAGTTTCACACAGAGACGCTGCTGTCCTGTCAAAGTTAGACATCTGTCGCGCCCAATCATGCTCAGTTCACCTCTAACCCCCACTTTGTCCCAGTTGGTGGTACACAGTGCTGAACGTCTCTTTACTCCTTAGTCGTTTGTTTCCCCCTTCTTCCTTCTGTGCATGGCTGAAACTTTGTTTAGTGAGAAATGGTGTTTTATTATGGATTCATCATAAATCCTCTTTTTGTCCCGCCCCCTTGCTGCACCCGGATGGTGTCCATTAGAGAGACGATGAGCTGGATGAGCTGCGTCAGGGATGGGGAGGTAGGTTTCATGGCTGAACTTGTCTACACCTCAGACAAGAGCGGAGGGTTGCAGTGACATCAGCCCGGAGAAGCTGCTGTGGTGTTGAATAGAGTGTAATGTTGAAAAATACTCCTTTCATTCTTTGACTATGCCTGCAAGGTCTATCAGTAACAGCTGGATTTGTCTGTGTTTTGCAATGTGGCTGTAGTGGCTCACACAGCGCCTTAGGTCAGGGCTAGTCTTGTGCTACGTGGTATGCAAGTACACAGACACACCCATCTTAGCTCAGTAAAGTACAGAGGAGTTGATCAGCTGTGCTGGAGTTGAAATAGACTTTAATCTTATTTCAGTATCAAAACTAGATCCTTAAATGTGGTTATAACAGTAATCCTAATGTACTGGCCCTAACCCTAATACTGCTAGTCAGCTGCTTGTTTGTTTTAACAGTGTTTTTAAAAGTATCTGTGGATAAGCTATAGAGGACTATCTACATAAAACTGCAGCTCTAAATTCAAGGGGTGGGAATTGAAACTGCCCCCAGGATATGATAAGGCCATACTTTAATCATAGTAAGGCTCTATTTTGGTATATATTGCGATATGACACTTTGTGGTTTATTGCTTAAGTGCAAATAATTCCTCCAACATTCACACAGACTTTATTCCTGCTTCTTAAAGAGGAATTCCTCCATAATTCAGTCACTGAGATGTAAACAGAGACCTTCAGAGTGGTTTAATATGAAATGCAGTGCATTGTAGAGGAGTTTAGATGTCTTTACAGTGGTGCTGATGGGAAACAGGGGTTGTGATGTCTGCGACACAAATATAGCCGTTAGTTTACTAAAACAGAAGAAAATCCAAAAACAGAAACTTTCTTTGAGGACTGTTTTGTCATACAGCTGCCTGCATGTGTCTCTTTGCCATTAATGGATTTTTTAAAAAATGTTTTATGCCCAAAAAACATCTTTAAACTACCGTAAAACAATGTCTTGGGTGTCTGAGATAAAAGAGACATCAACACTTGTTTATTACCTGTTTTAAAATGAGCACACAACATATGAAGAATTCCTCTAAAGAAGAACAACAAAAACAGCTTCTTTACAAACTCAGTTCTTATTAAAATCTGAGTAGGCTGATTAATTGGTGAGATACGTAAAAAAATCATAAACAGCTTTCTGTGAACTGAATCAAACAGTGCGCTTCTATATGCGGACTGAGCATGTAATCAACTATACTGACTCCTCAAAATGACTCCACTGACAGAAACTGGGCTTAATACACATCCATTCAGTCATAATTAACCCTCTAAGGCAGACATAAAGAAGTGGCCATTTCTGCCCTCCAATCTGCTGAAACTGATCAGATGATTTTATTTGGGCTGGGGGCCGGAACACGGCAGATAATGCTAAATAATGTTTTCTTTATTTAATGTTAAATTAAATAAAGAAAAGTGGTTCCAGGGCCTCCATACAGCAATGCTACCTGACATGATGAGTTACTATATCTTTTTTTTTTTCTCCCACCCCCACTAAATTATTCCAAATATGGACACTAGGAGGTTAATCTAAGAAGAGAACTGACTAGATGAGTGGGCTACAGTGGTACGCCCTGCCCTGCTCTAACCCACCCACTTTTATTCAGGTCCTGTTAATGAGCTGCTTAGTTGGAGCAGGGAAAATGCGAGGCTCTTTTAGGGGCAGGTTTGGAAACCACCTCCATTTCATTATTACCTTACGGACATCAAATAGAGCTTTCACACATCTTCATCATGTTTGTGTGGCTCTCCCCTTTAAGAAAGTGTCTCTGCTGCAGAACCAAATGGTTGTGTTGTGAATAAATGACTGATTCTGAACTCTTCCTCGTTGTTCCTGCAGGCTCAAGTGCCCCTATTGTGATCCAGCCGCATTCCACCATCACCACTTCGGAGACCACCCACTTCGCAGCCAGCCAGCCCATGTACTCCGCCCAGCAGTGAGCCACCTGCCCACTGCAGGGGTTTCATTGTAAGGTCTTCCCCACCTTTGATGGGATACAGGGCACCAAACTGTGGCTACTGCCCGAGTCCTCGGCACTGACGTTATCGGAAGCGAATGGGATGGGAACCTTCTGCCAAGCTCACGTCAATTATTCTTCTCAATCGTCTCTCACTCTCATCTGGAAACCCATCTAACTGTGAGCCTAGAAGGAAATGGGCTTGATTCCTTTTGGGTGGGGGGGTCAATTCTGGGTCTGATTTTCTTCTTTCTCTGTTTTTAAATCGGTAAATCAGCGCTGGAACTATCTTGTGTAAGTAGCATGGAGTTGAAGGCTCATCCGGGTGCATGCACAGCAATAACTGCATGCCCTTATTGTCCAGCTCTCACACACACTGTACATGCTCCTGTACACCTTCCACGACCCCCACACCCCACCATCCCGCTCCCATTCCTGTCCCTAAAGTAAATCTGAGGGGCCACAAATATCCTGTTACTCTTGATTTCTGAACTGGAGCATCTTTGACTCTTATCTAAGCAGATTTTCTTCTAGTTGGGCTGTGCTCAGCCAGCATTTACAACAGATTGAACCAGGTCATTTCATTTTAGGTTTTATCTACTTTGCCCTTTTCTGCAAATGACAAGGCGTTGCTTTGCCAGTCCGTTCTGACCAAAGCCAAGATGTACATCTTTAGCAGAGGTGCAGTGCCTAGTGCTCAAAGCTCTGTCCAGTGGTCGCACATGTCTTAACGGCATACCACTCGAAAACTGCTGGTCAGAGAAATTTATGACTATGCACTTTTCCTGCACTGGTCAGGTTTTTCAGAAGGCACTCTAAGTCAATGCAAGCCTTCTCAGAGGCGGAGTAGATATTAAAGCTGAGTGCAGTTTTAGTTTTATGCAGTTAATGGACTGATATGGGATCAGCTTGATGTTAGATGAACGCTATGCCAAATCATAACATTGCTGTACTTGCTTTTTTTTTTTGTAAAAGTATCCAGTGACATAACATCTTTATAAATGAGTTTATTTATTTTGAAGATTATGTTCTAGCTGTTATAGATTTCAGTCATTGTTACATGTATTTTGTTAAGCTTTTAAAAAAAAATCATAATTCTGAGCAGATCTTCCACTAAGGAGATGCTCAGTATATTATGTGTGAACATCATCCGTCAGTTTCGGTTTTGTATTGTAAGCTTGCTGTTTCGCACTGTTGGGTGGTCCATATCATTTAGAGTCAATGCCAAATTTTGTCTTTTATTGTTGATCCTGTCCCTGCGGTCAAGCGATGTGGTCATTCTTTATATTCTCTTCCCAAAATGTTACCTGACGTTTCGATTCTTCTATAATTCTTAGATGTTGGAGTTAAGATGCCAAATACAAATGTGCAAGTCCATAGCATTTCATCACACTTCTCCTGTCTCGCACTGCTGTGTGCTGTGTTGGTTTATTAGGTGAACACTATGCTCAGTAGCTCAGCCACATATATATAAACCTCGGTGTACACGATCATTTTTATGGACTGAATCCGTGTTTCTAAATGCAGGTCCTCGAATCACCTCTGCAGGACTGTTTTTCCTGCTCTAACAGGCTCATTAAATAATGCAGGATTTGTTGTTTGGCTGAGGTGTGTTGGGTGCAGAGGGATTGGAGGACTAGATTTAAGAAACACTGGCTTAAATTCCTTTTTTTTGTATATCAAGTTTTGCCACCAGCATCTAGTACACTTGAAAGTACCCTGCGATCTGGAATGCTTTTAGACATTTTTAGCCTTTTTTTCAATAGTGCACAAATGAACTTGGGAGTTTTAAATAGCATAGGGGGCATCAGGAGGCCTGAGCCTGACTACATCACTACTTCGTCACACCTGGAAAACAGGGACCCCTTGCTGCACCTGTGCAATCAAAGCTTGGTCATTGTTTTCTTTATGTTACTGTCCAACATGATTCTTTATCCAGAAACGTCTATTTATACTGTTGAATCTAAAGGAATTAAAAGATGGGGGGATTTTTAAACGACCTGTTCATGTTATTTCTTGAGTACAAGTTTCTTGAGTTCGCTGCTTTCATTCAACCCGTCCATCAACTTTCTATTTCTGCACTCATGCACTTTTTTGCCGTTTATCCCTCGACTGTAGCTGTTATCTCCATTAATAATGCAAGTTTCAGTAAAAGTGCAGTCAGTAGAATGATGAATGGCTCCACCACTGTGTGTGTGTGTGTGTGTGTGTGTGTGTGTGTGTGTGTGTGTGTGTGTGTGTGGCTCACTCCATACTCCAGCTCTGTGTGCTATAGTTGTGCTGATAAGCTGGTAATCAGATTAGCCCTTAGCCCTCTGCAGACGCTCATTAATGATCCTGCCACTTTGCCTCCACGTTAAGCACAGGGCCAGAGTTCCCTGACGTGGAGCTGTTGTAAAGAGGGCGCTTTGTGTGTATTGAAGTCTGTGGAAGACGACAGCTGCAGGATTTCTCCATGACCAGAATGCCTTTGGATGACCATGTAGTCACATTTAGTGTACGGCTGTTTGGCCTGTCAGAAAAATTCAAAATCTTGGAGTGAAAAGATTTAACATTTAAAAACAATCCTCATCTAGACTGATCATAGACTGGACTGGAGCGCCAACATTATTAAGAAATAAATGTACATCCTGTAAGAAATACTGATAAAATATGATGAGCTTTTTAATTTGAAAGGATTTCAGCTGAGATCTTATATTTTAATAGATATTGTTAAATATTTAAGTTAAGAGTTGATCATGTTGGTACAAATATGCAGTAAATATAGTTTTGGGTTCCCTTCCCTGAATATGTATATATGCTTTCTGTACTTCCGTTCTTTAATGCTGTGGCTGTTGTTCAGTGCGTTAATCCCTTCTTCATCATACAGACACTTCATACGGCACCGTCTCAATACCAAACCAAATTTAACCACGTTAACCAAATTTAGTTGAGAACTGGGATCAAATAAACCCAGACTTCATTACTGCCAGCCTTACTGAATCTAAACATCACTTAGATCAGGGGTGTCAAACTCAACCACTAAAAGGGGCTTATTAAAAAATCTCAGCGAATCTGTAGCCCAGCTGTGTTTTTATTTCAGTTTCACTGAACGTTTTGTCACGACCTGAACGGCCATCAGGGATTGAATACTTACTCGAAAATAATTCTAAACAAAAATAAACTGTTTTAGGATTTTAACTGCCTATTTTATTGAACTAAACACGAGGCATCTTTTAATGTAACCGCTGGCCCAGAGATGATTGTTGGAGAAAGGGGGTCAGTTTGCACTCTATGTTGCAGTGCCTGCTGGGGACTGTAGTGCATCTTTGGGTAAAATGGGCTAATAATAATAGAAAATTGAAATAATTTCGGACTGTGTCACGGGCCGGACTCGGCCCTGGGCCTTGTGTTTGCCACATGGCACTTAAATGGAACCCAGCGACGTGCAGTTGGCTTAAAGGTCTCAACGAGCAGCACGACGTGCCCTGATCAACAGGAATACTGGAGGAGATGCGAAAGTAAGTACTTGATAATGATCAGGCTGAAAAGGGTTACTAAGCCATTTCTACGGCTCTGGGACTCGTCAGTGAGAGCCTTTATCTCCAAATGGCGAAAACTTGGAACAGCAGTGAATCTTCCCAGAAGCGACTGGCCTGGCAATGTTCCTCCAGGAACACAGCAACGATTCATCCAGGGAGTCGCACATGAACCGAGATGAATATCTCAGGAGCTGCAGGCCACACTCACCTTAGGTGAGGTCAGCATTCATGATTCCACCAATAGAAAGACTGGGTGAAAATGTGTCACTGGGAGAGTCACAAGGCAAAAACTACAGCTGAAGAGGAACATAAAGACTGATAGCCTGATAACAAGGCTGAAGTCTTGGAGTAATGTTTGGTGGATGAGTTGAAAGTGGAACTTTTTAAAATACTTAACCTACTTAAAGTTCCTGCTCTTCATGAAATGTGGTCAGTTCACCAAAACACTGACTTACTTTCCAGAATAAACCAAAGCGAAGAGTGCAAAGCCATGAAACAGCAGCATCACTGCCTGCACAGCTATATATGAGTGAGAAATAAAGGTAAAGTGTACAGCAGCTGCAGTTAACATCCTGCCCTGCTCCAGAGGGAGATACCACAGCAGGGCTGCAGAGCGTAAACCCCTCACCACTAAGACAAATGTGCATTTGAGAGTTCAGTAATGTAAAAACCACAGACACTAATCTTCAGACGTGGGAGTCACTGATACGGTCAGATGAATCATCTTCACCATATTGTCCACTTGTGGTTGAGTCAGTCTTAAGTCAACTAACAGTTTACGAGGTTTTACATATGCAGTTTAGATGGTTTAATAAAGGAAGAAATACATTTATAATAGATTGTTCGTTGTGATTTGAATGTATAATAAGTTTTATATTGATTGTGTACGTTGTGCCATTCTCGTTATGTTGAATCTGCCTTTGGTTTGAGTTTCTATCTTAAGGGACCACAATGGGAAAAAGCCTATTGGCTCATTTTATCCCTCAATATTTCTGTTTTTCTTATGTGTTTCTGATTAGGGCACAGATCATTATGGGGTGTTGATACTTCCGTTTGTTTAAAAAAGAAATGGTCTAATAAAACAAGTCTATTATTTATTTATTTATTTATTTATTTAAATGTTTTACTTTTTTAAGTGACAGTAAGTACATATCCTCCACATAGAACAAAATTCTGTACATTTTAAGGCAAAGTTTCTTTAATTTATTTACTTCTGCGCAGGGCTTTTTGTTTCCTTTTCCCCAAAATGATGAATTCAGCAAATAAATTTGCAGACAATGTTATATTAAGGTTTGTTCTGCAGTAGAAAATGTTAAGTGTAAATGTTAAATCAACAGATTATGTAATTTGACCAGGGTGTCCAAACTTTTGCGTGAGACTGAGTATTAGTGATATTTTCCTATGCAAAAGTTTAGGCACCCCAGTCAAACAAGATTTTATTGATTTTCTAAGTGAAAATAAGTGAACACACTTCTGCACATTTTGATGCACAATTACTGTGTATTTGCTGAATTTTACATGCTGGAAAAAGAACATTTCCAGTAAATAACATAAAATGTGGCCTATGCAAAAGTAAAGGCACATTTGATACTTTATTTTCTTCCAAAATGTTAAATGAAAAAATTAGTAAATGTTGCACTAAAATTTGCAGAATAATATCGTACCTCAGTTCTCTGTAGAGAACGTGTTCACTGATTTTCACTTAGACAACGAACAGAACGTCATTTGATGGGGAGTATTTGAATTTTGCATATGAGTGAAAGAGAGATTGGAAAGAACGTTCTGATCCCTCATAAAAAGGGCAAATGTGTGGTCAGTGTTGTGTCCAGGGTTTGTTTTTAGCGGCTCTTGTCATTGGCGCCAGATCTCCTTCATGGACTCTGGTGACTCAGGAGCCGTTGAGCCAACACACACCAACTGTTCCCGTTCCCCAGCACCACCCTGCGCCCTCCTCTCAGGTTACAACAGATAAAACACTCTGCCATACGTCTCCAAAAGGGCAACAGCAGTGGGTTCAGGGCGGGGAGGGGGGGTGCAGTTTGGATAGTAACCCAACACAGGATAAACACAGACCAATTTTATCCACAGCTCTGCAGGCTCGAAGGGTGTGGACATCAGAGTGAAGACTAGCAGTTCAGCAGAGCTTCTGTTAATCAGGACGCTGCTCGGAGAGACTGTCATCGTTTCAGGGAACAGGTAAAGGAAGCAGGTGGGAATGAACTTTGCGTTGGGTTTCAAGCCGGCAGTGGGGGAGTCCAGCTCCATGGAGAACCTGGAGAAGCAGCTGATCTGCCCCATTTGCCTGGAGATGTTCACCAAGCCAGTGGTCATCCTACCGTGCCAACACAACCTCTGCAGGAAGTGCGCCAGTGACGTCTTCCAGGTAATCCATGTTTACTGATTACTGAATGGGCTCCAGTGTCACTGCGACTTTGGTGGAGTAACTGTGTAACTAGTAACTGGATACCAACAAAGAAGAATCAACAAGTTTCAAATGTGCCACAGTTTTAGATCTAAACCCTGCGACTGAGTGAACAGGTGGAAGGTGGGAACAGAGCTGTGGGTTTCACTTTTGACCTGAACTGTTTAGGAGCAAAACAGTGTTGCCTGTTGTCACGACTAATTGTCCTAATATTACTGGCGTTGCATATTATACATATCGTATCATGGTACTTGGCTAAACTATTACAGCCCTTTTCACAAACAGAGAATCATAAGGAGAATGTGACGACTACATGTAATGTCAAACATGCTGACAAGCTGGATATAACACTCCTGGACTCCTCCTGGACTCTTAGTCCCACTGATAAACACTGATGAACCATTTACTATCACTGATTATTGCCAAATCAATACAACACACCTTTAAAAATGGGGTAATTTTGCTGGTTCAAGATTTATTTCTTAACAATGGTCTGTGTTATACTTTAAAAATTCTACATAAATGAATTTTTAAATGGTCACTTTACATTAGCATATCTTCTTTGCTCATTGCTTTGAGAAATATATGTACTCTTATTGAGACACTGCTCTCTTTTCTGCTTTAAATTGTTCTGTAGTGTCTGGTTCTGTCCAGGGTAACAGCATCGTGTCCTTTCAAGGTCTGATGAGGTTGATAACACAATCATCCATGCAGAATATCTGTAGATCTCTGAGTTCTTGACCTTTTCTTATGGATGCTGCTCCTCAGCTTTCCCTGGGCTTTATAGAGGGATTCATAGCAGCATTAGGCTCTCTTAAGCATAACAGTAACAATTTACTGTAGGGCACTGTTCATAAGGCTACATGACACCTACTTAAGCTTGTCATGACGACTGACATAACCCTTCATAAATGTTTACAAATGCTTATTCCGACAGGCCTCATTCACTATAAAGGTTACATTTGCCAGTTTTAATCAAAGTTAGCTAAAGTAGCCAATCAGAATAAGCGTTTATAAACACCTATGTAGGGTTATGTCACCTATGTAGGTGTCACACAGCCTTTTTTGGTAGAACATTTTCTTCTTCTTCTGGTGAACATAGACGAAAAGCTAATTTAGTCTCTGGCTGGCATTGGAAATTGGCTCCGACTCTACAGTGACGCTCAGAAAACAGCAGTTTGATTAGAGCTTTATTCTCGTAAGACCTTCCACATAGTTCCATGGCCTGTAAGTGGATCTTACCATAGCTGTGGAAACTTGCTGGTTGCCAAGATGCAATTAACCCCAGCAGTAAGTGTGAAATTTTATATTCACTCCTGGATTTATGAAGGTCATGAAGCTTTTGGTTCATTTGTGTTTTCTGATCTTCCCTGTGTTGATAGATGGGGAATGGATCCTGTGGCGTGTGTGTCACCTCATATTTATCCCCCAGTGAACTGAGAAGTTATCGATTACTGTGACACATTTTAAGTTCTTAAAACAGTGATTTTTAACAGCTCAAGCCTCAACAGAAATCTCTTCAAGACTTCCTAAACTCCAGACTTGACCTCAGAGTCACTAACGTTGCAGAAATGAAGGGATTATAAAATTTTAAGGTTAAGGTAACTGTAATCCTGTAAAAGTTCTGAAAAAAGGTATAATTCTAATTCTAATTAAAGTCTGGTTTCTTTGTTTCATTCTAAACAGAAGACTTCATGCTCAGGATTTGTAGAAGCAGAGGCCGATTATGCAAACATTCATGTAAAATGAAGACGACAGAGTCTTTGACAGGGTTGCCTGTCCAGGAAAAATGATTCCATTCCTGGACACAAAACATCCAGATGTCCAAGCATTTTCATACATTAGTATTTCTTATGGAAGTGAAAGTGCTTTATTTGTCCAGTTAAATCGTTTGTACACAAAGAATGGGCTGGAATCGTATCCTTAGCTTAGGGACAGTTGTTTAGGTTAAGACGTCTTTCAGGACATGAGGACCCCCCTCCCCCCCAGTCATTAGCACTGCCTAGAGTTCAATGATTTTTTGAGCCATTAAAGAATGATTATTATTATTATTGTCATTTGTGTGTTGATTTTTTTTATCTCAGGATAGATCTTATTGCATATTTTTGTATATTTCTAGTTGTATATATACCCGTAGATAGTTTTTTTGTATATATTCCTGCCTTTTTGTAATAAGTGAGAACATTTTCACTGAGCCTGTACATTCTTCTTTCATACTGTATCACCCTTATTATTATAACTGTGCTGTGTTGTGTGACTGATAGTGGCTGCTTTCCTTCAGGATCAATAAAGTATCTATCTATCTGTCTGTCCGTCCGTCCGTCCGTCCGTCCGTCCGTCCTTCCATCCATCCATCCATCCATCCATCCATCCATCTATCTATCTATCTATCTATCTATCTATCTATCTATCTATCTATCTATCTATCTATCTATCTATCTATCTATCTATCCTGGACACAAAACGTCCAGAAGTCCAAGCATTTTCATACATTAGTATTTCTTACGGAAGTGAAAGTGCTTTATTTGTCCAGTTAAATCGTTTGTACACAAAGAATGGGCTGGAATCGTATCCGTAACTTAGGGACAGTTGTTTGGGAAATGTGCACTGTTGGTGATATTAGACACTAGGCAGCACTTCAGTGTGACAATCGAGAAGGTTGGGTTCTGTCGCTGAACTGAGATCTATCTACCACAGACTGAAAAGCACAGCAACCCATCCCCTGAATTTGAAATCAAGCCGCTGATTGAGTGTCCAGAAGCTTTACAGGGCTGAGGTGGTGACCATCGTCGTTGAAGATGAATTTTCTTGATGAACTGTTGAACAGTGGAGAACGTCATTACTGTATAGATCTCTGATTGTTTCTGAAATGTATGGAGAAAAACCATTAAGCGGTTTTAAAAAGCAGTGAAACACTTTGAAATAAACTGTAGTAATGTGATTGTAAAGCCTGAACAGATGTGCTGTGTTCTTTCGTTCTAGTGTGTCAGTTCTGCATGTTGAAGAAGATGTAAACAAAGTCTCTCTGGGTAGAACATTCAGTTCTTTACCAAAGTACATTACAGATCAGAGTGTAGAGCAGAGCACACATCCTGATCTGGAACAAGAGGACAGGTCTGAGTTGTGCTGAGCTCCTGAGAGACCTTAGTGACGTTGCTAATGTGTGATGTCATAGTGGAAAACAACACCTGGGTTCCTGATTTCCAAGAGTTTTGGCTTTTGTGGTTTATATGAGGAAGATCTGACGGTGTGTCAGACGATGTCTCCCCCTCTTATTTTCCTCCTGACTCAGTGATGGGGCAAATCTAATTACTGCATATTTACTGAGTGACCGAGCTCTGCTTAACTCTGAGACTCAACTGTCCCCTGGAAACCTTTTGAAGTCTAGTGTGGTTTTATTCATTCTTATATCCATTCATTCATTCATTACTTCATTCTTTCATTATGTATTATTTATTGTACTCTGGATATAGTGATCTATACATTCATGTGAAGTTAGTGGGGTTTTAAGAAAGTAATTCATTTGGTTTTAATAGAGAATTTTGTTTTCTTTTGAAGTGAAAAACAGTCCAACTTCTAACTCAGACCTTTGGGTTAATGTCTTTCAGGACATGAGGACTCCCCCCCCAGTCATTAGCACTGCTGCACTACTGAGTTCAATGATTTTTTGAGCCATTAAAGAATGATTATTATTATTATTGTCATTTGTGTGTTGATTTTTTTATCTCAGGTTAGATCTTATTGCATATTTTTGTATATTTCTAGTTGTATATATACCCGTAGATAGGTTTTTGTATATATTCCTGCCTTTTTGTAATAAGTGAGAACATTTTCACTGAGCCTGTACATTCTTCTTTCATACTGTATCACCCTTATTATTATAACTGTGCTGTGTTGTGTGACTGATAGTGGCTGCTTTCCTTCAGGATCAATAAAGTATCTATCTATCTATCTATCTATCTATCTAATGTCATTAAAAAATATTAACTAATTAAAATGGAATCCTATTTTACAAAATAGGTGTAAAATGTTAGTTTACATTTTAATTTAAAATAGGATATTTAACCCTTGTGTGGTGTTGATGTGTTTGTTACTCAGTGGTCTGGTGACCCACCACATTATTGGTTTATTAAATTAATACAGCCACAATAATTTATGTAAATACCAGATGTTTAAAATATCACAAGTGTCCAGTGTAGGGTTCTCATTTAGCAGCTGTAGCCAGTCAGCAGCCTGTCCATGTTGTCCACCCTCACACACACACACACACACACACACACACACACACACACACACACACTAACAGCAGGCCATGTAGGAGGAGAACAGAGTGAAGGACACAGCACCTCCACACTTTTACTCCCCGCAGGTTCACCCAACACCACATGTGTAATATAAATGTGTGGGGGGTGAACAGAGTGAAGACACTGAAAATGAGATTGAAATAATAATAAATCACATCATTTTTTCTTTTGGTAAACACTGAAAACGGGTCCCACAGACCTGAACACCACACAAGGGTTAATGTGGTAAGAACATTTTTGAAGAACACAAAGATGAATGATTTGACAGATCAATTACACGTCAGACAAAAACAGATGGCATCAGGGGAACTTCTTACCCTGGGTAGCGGGACACGGGACACACATCACATTCTGACAGCACAATATGTATCTGCCAAGAAGACACGACACCACTGTGATATAGTCCTTTATTTCTCACTAGGCCTCCAACCCTCTTTGGCAGACCCGTGGTTCCACCACTGTGTCCACAGGAGGCCGATTCCGCTGCCCGTCCTGCCGACACGAGGTGGTGCTAGACCGGCATGGAGTGTATGGCCTTCAGAGGAACCTCTTAGTGGAGAACATAATTGACATCTACAAACAAGAGTCCACCAGGTCAGTCTGTGTGGTGGACCTGTATCAGTCTGTCTCAGTCGTGGTTCAGAAGGAAACCTGATTAGTGATAAAGTTACCGTCACTTCAGGCTTTAAAGGATCTCTGTGTGTTTTGAAGGGCGGCACGGTGGTGCAGTGGGTAGCGCTGTCACCTCACAGCAAGAATGGCCTGGGTTCGATTCCTGGCCTGGTGACCAGGGTCATTTCTGTGTGGAGTTTGCCTGTTCTCCCCGTGTCTGCGTGGGTTTCCTCCCACAGTCCAAAAACATGCAGTCAGGCTGATTGGACATGCTGAATTGCCCCTAGGTGTGAGTGTGTATGTCTGTCTGTCTGCCCTGCAATGGACTGGCGACCTGTCCAGGGTGTATCCTGCCTTCTGCCCCTGGGATAGGCTCCAGCACCCCACCGCGACCCAGAAGGATAAGCGGTTTGGATGATGTATGTGTGTTTTGATATCAGGAAGAGCCCTAAGCTGTCATAACTTCTCAGACTGCCACAGCGCTTCCTGAGCAGAGTGTGCACAGTGGGCTGTGTGGGCGTTTCATCAGGTTGAGAGAGATTTTTTGACGTACTATGTAAACATAACAGGCAGGACCTCAGGCTTTAGTAATTGCTTCAAATCCTGAGCCAAAATGCTAAAAATAACCAGAACGCTTCGTCCCTAAAGCAGTAAACAATGCGTCATGAAACCTCCTGAGATATAAAGTGTGTAGCTGGGAACAATATGGCAGACATAGTTTCATTCAGAAATAATATTTAAAGGAAGAAAATATAATATTGTCTTTCAGATGTTACTGTCTGAGACATTGTGTATTATTCCAACTTGGCATTCAAGTACAACAGAACGCCGGTGAGTGTGGCATCACTTACACATCTATATAAAGTCACTGAGGAGCAAGAAGTTTGTCTCATTCATTCTGTTCAGGTGACTGAAACCGTATCATTTGTAAGATCATCATTTCATTAAATCATCTCTTTTAAATCATTTCTTTAGGAAATGTCCAACCTTCAAATAACGTTTGTTTGTTCTCATGTTTTCTGTTTTTATCAGTGATATGCTTAAGTTTAACATCATTTTACAGTTTATAATCTTAATATATCTTAATATAATCTACTCATGGGATTATATGCTTAAAAATGTTCAGGTAGCTCTAATCAAAGTGGAACTTCTCACCTTAGATGAAGACCTGAACTGATATTTGAGATTTGCTTGTTTGTTCATCCAACTCTGATGATCAGTTTTAAAAATCTAGCTCCCACCTGATCCAGCCACTGGGTGGCACTCCTTCCCATATTTCATTTCTGTATCTATGAGGGCTCCTGGCCAGCTCGCTGGACACACCATCCCTCACCCACTTGACAAGCCATTAAAGATTAATGCATCATGACAGGAGCATTTTGAAAAGGTCTTTGTGAGTAATCCTCTCATTTCGGTCCAGAATATTGAATGAGACTTATCAGTCACTTTCAGCTGCTCTAAAAGGCAGCAGAGTTCTGAAATCTCCAAGCTAGAGGATGGCGCTGCCCGCCTGAGGGAAGTGACATCACACCTATGATGTCACAGCAGGAGGATGGGAGTGTTGTCATAAAAATAGCTTCTCACAAAACCAGTATTTGGAAATCAGACAGGCTTTACTTTGGCGACAGCAGAAGGATCATTTTAATGTTTTTCAGCCCTGATCTTAAAAAATAGAAGATCTTTTTCCACTTAATGTTTCTACTTAAATTGGTGGGTCACTTTAGACACCGTATCCCCAAAGTCTGAGCATCTCATTGGTACAATACTGTTTCCTATTTCTAATCCCCTGCAACACCTTTAGAGGGCAGCGTTGAGTCATGTTTGTTTACTTGAGCTGAAGCCATTTATCTGTTCAGTGGGAGCTACAAACCATCGACAGCTAAGAAACAAACTGGCTTTAGTATCATTCAACCATCGCAAATATTTATATGTCAATAAATTTAATGATTGTGACCTTTTGTGACAGCATTTCATATCCATGTCGGCCCTCAGGAACCTCCTCTCTCTTTCTCTCAGCCTGTTATTCTCTTTGCAGGCCACTCCTACCCAAACCAGACCAGCAGCAGCTGATGTGTGAGGAGCACGAGGAGGAGAAGATCAACATCTACTGCCTCACCTGTGAAATGCCCACTTGCTCAATGTGCAAAGTGTTCGGTGCACACAAGGACTGCGACGTGGCTCCACTGCAGACCGTTTACAAGAGCCAGAAGGTAGAGAACAGTCTACCGTGACGTACATGTATATCATTATTAGAGACGGACCAATCAGTGTTTTTGGGGCCGATATCGATCACCGGATCACCATAAATCTGCCCCTGAAATTCATGGACACACTTTGCCAAAGCAAACAACACTTTTTTTAGATCTTCATGACCATAAAACTCTTCGCAAGCGCTGAGCGGCCATGATTATGATGTTAGAGCAAACAGCAGCATAGCAAGTAATGTAACTAACGTTGGCTAGATTGTGGGTTCGCTACTATTGCTGCTGCAGAGCAAACCACAAACATTAGCAAACAGGACAAAACAGTAGTGACCATAGATATACATGCCTAGATTCCGCGTTGGGTCCAGCCAGGTGCTTCAAACGGCGCCACCATTTTAGGGCGGTCAACATCGCTGCTGGACTGCATTCAGTACCATTACAAAGCGGCAGTTTAAGAAAGATACCGTCCAAAATTACACTATTTCAAGAATATCACACTATTACACAATTACAATATTACACAAAGTGGGATAGGATTATATAATGGAGTTTGTGTAGATATGGTCATGTGGTTAATGAGGCACAGAGAACCTGTTGATGTGATTGTTTTTCCTCTGGTTTTATATTCAGCTTATTTCATTTAATAGTCTATTCAGGATCTTAACTTTATATAGTAGTTATTTGTTTACAGTGATGGTTAAAGCTGTAAATTATAGCATTCCTTAATCCGTGTAGATATTCATAATAGATTAATGTTAGCATCTTCTTACACAAACCTGAAGTCAGCTTCTTATTCGCCAGCTTCTTGTTTGAATTTTCCTGTTCCACCTTAAATGGTGCAGCGGTTACTTTCTGGTGCCTCAGGCCAGCATAACCATTGAAATAACCTTGAGCCTCTGTGACCGGCGCAGCTAACAAGACAAAACAGTCCTCCTGCTCCACTGATGGGTTTTTAAAAGTACTAAAGGCTAATCGGGCTAACATACTATCGCTTTTGTAGCTCTGTGTGTCATTTTTATTTTCAGCCCCTCCCAAAGCGGAAGGTCAAACAGGTAGTGCAGTGTAAGCTAAAAGTAGTGCACGGATACTAACATGGTAACAGAAGTGAATCCTCAAAGCTTTGACCACAAACTGCGTTAATATGAGCTCTACACGTTCACACAGCGGGATTACAGTGAAACAGGAGCCAAGTTTGCAATATGCTTCAGGAAAATGTTTATCATTAGTGAAATGGATACGAGGCTGAAGTTGGCTTCGTATTCACCAGCTTTTTGTTCAGATTTTCCTGTTCCACCTTAAATAGTGCAGCAGTTACATTCTGGCGTCTCAGGCAAAATATGATCAGCTCTCAGGATCAGCTAAGTTAGAGAAATACTGGCTGATGCCGATTGCATATTTGAGCTGAAAACTGCCCAAAACCGATACACTAAATATTATAACTGATGGATTAAAATTGATTTAGTCTGTAGTATTTATTTATGTATTGACTGACAATATAAACTGCAATGTGTTTGACTGGAGAGCATCTGAAAAAGGGTAAAAGCAGTAAATCACTTCTTTGTATTTGAAGTTAGAAGAAAAGAACACACTTCTACTTAAAAATGAAATTATCTCTGCAGTGTAGTGCACGTTTAGACACTTAGTGTCCAGGAAACCAGAGTACATTAAGGAGTGTTCAGTGGTTCCAAAACTGGTCCTCAAAGCCCCCATTTACAGACCACATTTTTGCTCCAACCCAACTCGCAAATGGATGAAGGAACAATGTGTCTGGGGGGCCCTGAGTGACCAGGGTCCAGGGCTTAAACAGGACGAGGGCTGGGTAACCCTGTACGAAAACAGAGGTGTTAAATCAGGTCCAAATGCAGCAGAATTATGCTCCACTGTAGCTCCAAACTCATCCACTTAATCAAGGGTTTTGCGAAGTCTTCACCTTCACCACAGGACTCATCAAACAGAAGGAAGGCTGAGCAAACCTGGAGTGACAGTGTGAACCGAAAGGAGAAGAAGCAGATGTGTGTGGATAATGCACAACCCAGCAAGCCTCTCACACTACAAGGGGCTGAGTCTCACATCACGGCTCAGGTGTCTCATCAGACACTCACACACCAAAAAAGACAGCAGTACATCACACAGCTCCAAACATTAATAGCAGCAATACTGAAGCCTAAAAACCACTGATGAAACCTATCTAAGAACTGTGGGGGCGTGGCTAGTGAGCAGCCTGATTGACAGCTCTCAACACTCCTAGCCTGCTCTGCCACTCATACTGAACTAAAATCAATACCCAGCTTTTAACAGCTGGGTAAAAAAACTGATGGACAAACAGACGTGCAGACAGACAGACAAACGGATGGACCAAGCACTGTGTGCGGGAGCAGTGCTCATGTGTGGATCAATGAATGAACAGCGACAGGCAGCTACCAGAGTACCAGAGAGGAGAATTAAACTCTGTAATGTCTTCCGGGTTTCTTAAACACTAGAGGGCGCTCTTGAGTGAGTCCAAACTGAATGGGTTGATATCGAGCATTTGGGCAAAATCATAGTTTATAAATGCTGAAACATTTTAATGGAAAAGAATTCATTCATTTCCTGAACACAGAGCAGCATAAAACATTTTAACACTGCTGTTATGTTTTTAAGAGCTTTTAAACTCGAGTTATAGGAGTCTCAAATGGCGCCTCGTGTACGTTCATGACATCAGCACGAACAGCCAATGAGCTGCTCCACTCGCAAACCAATCAGCACTCAGTATCAGTAATGCCCACCTTCTGCTGTCCAAAACCCGTTTGCTGTAGAAAAAAGGAAACATACAGGTGAGATTTCTTTGCTTTTTTGGTGAAATCCATCCGTCTACTGTCTAAAATTAAAGGAAAGTTCTGTGTGATCAGAAACTATTCGAACTTTTCGTTTTTAGCCGTTGAGCTCCATTCACTCCCATTCATTGAGGACTCGCTCATGGGCGCCCTCTGCTGTTTAGCAGTCCTGTTTTTGATATAACGGGGGAAATAGGAAGTGGCCAGACTCCTCATAAACCGGCTCGGCAGCTACAGCCAGACAGTTTAGCTTATTAGCTTTTGGTTATGCTAGGTTAGCCTTAGTTCGCCAAGTTTCTCTGACTCTGAAACTGCTTTGTGTGGGCGGGGCCAGAGACATCAGCTTTGTGATTGGTCAGGGGAATGCTTAGGGAAGTGTTATCCAAAATAAGGTCCACCTAGTTAAAGAGACCCTTATTAGTCCCACAACAGGGAAATTTCACCTCCGCATTTGACCCATCCGTGCAGTGAAACACCACATACACACTAGGGGGCAGTGAGCACACTTGCCCGGAGTGGTGGACAGCCCTATCCGCAGCACCCGGGGAGCAGTTGGGGGTTAGGTCTCTTGCTCAAGGGCACTTCAGTCACGTACTGATGGCTCAGGAGATCGAACCGGCGACCTTCCAGAAATATGGTGAAATATATCACTCGTTTATCCAAAAGGTGAACTCAGCACATGTTTACCTTTTGCCTGCAAGAACAAGATTAACCTAATCAGAAAGAGAACACAGAATGCGGTCTGCACAGTGCCCACTGGTGGCCATAAGCTTCCCTTAGCAAAGTTCAGAGACCAATCATGTCTTCAGGTATGAGGGAAATTTTACAAATTAGATTTTAATAACATTCAATAATGTACCCATATAAAAACATATTCACTACAAATCAGAGTATTTAACTGACAACAGATGATCAACTGATGGATGATTATTAACCGTGACAACTGGCCAACCCAATATTGTTTAATTTCAAAATAAGATCTTGATTGATCTCCACTGAAAATTAACTGAGCACCATAAGCACCCAGACAGATATCAGTCAGCCTAACAGCAGCAACTCACTTCATTACCTCACTGGCTGCCCGCTAAGGTCTTGACTGGCTTCCAGTGGGCTGGCCAGTAATCAAAGTCTTCTCATCAGGTTATGGCTGGCCCTGAGAAATGACTCACCCCTCCCTGTGGCGTTTGAGTCATAGTTTGCCTCCTTTGGTCTTTTACTTGAGTTTTTGTTTTTGGAGTAAGGTGCTGCTCTCAGCTCACTCTCCTCAACATCTACCAGCCACCAGATGAACAATGACTAATAGCGCCAGCATCTCCCACAACAGCGAAGCTGCGTGCATGGAGGACACCATATGTCGGTGTGTTATGTGCGACGTTGCTCTGCCGAAGGTCAATTTGCACGACTGGGAGAAGTTCCCTACTCGTGGCCGCTCCTGCCGAGAGACAGCCCCGCTTGATTTTTTTGGCGATGGCATGATGTAATGCCAGCCCGAGCCAAAATGGAGCTCGAGCAGCCGCGGCCCAAATGCTGCAGTGGCAGGCCAGCTCCCGACGACAGTCATGATTCCACACAGGTGGCTGCAGTGACCTTTTCGCTCGTCCAGTGAATCATAGATTACAAAGGCAAATGAGCAAAAGTTCGGTCAGTCATGACTGTTAACATCCTTACACACCCAGCTACCAGTTCACACGCTGTACTGCTCTCCCTTGTTTGTCAGAACGGATTTGACAAGTGAGACATAATCAAGTCTGACACTGTTGTCTTGTGAAAGATGACACTTAGAGAACGATGGTCATGTTTTGTATGAAGCCCGGTCGCTCAAGTTTTGCCCTGTTTTGTTTCAGACCGAGCTGAGCGACGGCATTGCCATCTTGGTCGCAGGAAATGACAGAGTCCAGGCCTTGATCTCACAGATGGAGGACATTTGCAGGACCATCGAAGTGAGAATGAAACACGTTCACCTAAAGGCCACATCTAAGCGGCCCAACCTGCTTTACACTATGATAAACACATAACAAACGCAGAACAATGAACACTGTGGTGATGAATGATGGTGTTAATATGAAAGCAGTTAAAGTATTTGACAGAAAAGAATTTAAGGAAGTTCGTCTGCTGCTAAATTAACTAACTTTGTGCTTTTTAGGAAAACGGCCGGCGGCAGAAGCAGCAGCTGTGCGATAAGTTTGAAGTCCTGTACGCCGTCTTGGATGAGCGTAAGAAGGAGCTGGTGGAGTGCATCAGCCGTGAGCAGGACCACAAACTGAGCCAAGTGCGATCTCTCATCCGCTGCCACGGAGACTATCTGGAGGTGGCTGTCAAACTGGTAGAGACGGCCATTCAGTCCATGGAAGAGCCGCAGATGGCTGTGTTCCTTCAGGTACCGTACTCCAGAGAACCCCTTCCTCTTTTTCAGACCCTTTCTCAGTGGCGTAGTAACTGTGGGTGTTTAACTGTGTGTTTAACGTCATTTAAATGTGTTGATTATTCAGAGTTCTTCATAACTGATACAGTCCAAGTCGCATACACTCAAAGCCATTCTACAGAAATATAAATCCGGTTCAAATTCAGGAAAAGATTACAGTCACCGATTTTTCAAAATTGCTGCATAATTCAATTGTTATAATTCAAAGAAGTCATTTAGAAATGTAACGGTAAAATAGTGGTAAACCTTTGAGGGACTGTTTTCACTCACAACACTGGAATAAAAAAATCAAACTATCATAATTTCTTTGGCATCAGGCAGCATATTTATAATGATTTTGGGTAACAGCTTTAGCTTTTAGAGGTATTAAATACTGCAAACATTTGGTTTCTATCACAACAGTTGTGAACAATTCTGACTCTGAGTTTCTCTAGAAAGGCACATTCACCATCAAATGACTCTGAATTACTTTGTTTACATATCAACAATTGAACTATGCAGAAAAAAATGATGGAATTCTTCTTTGAAGACACAATATTTCACATTATATTTCAAACAAGTCGTCGGGGTTCTGGCTCTTGTGCACCTTTGGCGGTCATTACTGAACCATATTTAACGGAGGCCCACCAGGGGGGACAAGTTCCTGCTCAAGCTCTTCATATTCTGGCTGCTGATTGACTCGACTCCCTGTCCTCACACTGTAAGCGTCCTTTTCTGATGAGTGCCGACAAGCAAATATTGATTTCCACAGCTTCCCACTGCTGCCGAATCCAGACTCTCGTATTTGAGTAGTTCTTCTCCCAGCCATCGATAGTTGTCCTCGACTGAGGGTGGTGCTCTTTTTAAAGAGACGTCCAGGTGGAAGAGTGAAAAATACCTTCATAAAACAGCTGCAGGTGCCAGGAGCCTTTCTGTCTAACAATCACTCGTGGTACCCACTCACTTTACTACCTAACAAGAGGCTGGGACAGTTTGTCACAGCGTGTTCTTTGGTGGCATTCACGATGAGAGGGCTGTTGAGAAGATTGAGGTGTTTGTCTTTGCAGATGCAACATTTTACTGTCTAAACAAAGATCTTCTGCTTCCCACATCCACAGAATGCAAAGGAGGTGTTTAAAAAGTAAGTCCTCCTTGAAGGCTGCTGTGCACTAATTCACGTTCTGCATGTTCATGTCAGTAAACACGTTTATAACATTGGTAATAAATGACGATAAATGCCATCTCAGAATCTGCAAGGAGTACAACAACCTGGAGCAAATTCACCATTTAACACGTTGACCATTTTCAATTCCATCTAATTTGTAATAATAATGGCATCCAGGGCCTTTAATGTTTATGAAAGCATTTTTATCATAGAGACATGTTTGCACCCATTACATTGTAATAATAATGCAAAGGAATAAATAACCCTGACCTGTTTGTGTTAAAGATGTCCATCTCAGCTAACGGACTAACAAACTAGAGGCTACACATAAAAATAAAGCTGCATGACCCATCAAGCTTCTGTTTGTGCTGCGCTTCTTTAGAGAATTACAGTCACTTTTCACCACTTAAAGGTTAGGAAAACAAAATCTTTTAGGACAGTGAAATACAGGTACATTTAGGCCACCAAACAGGGTTTTGTTTAAAGAATAAATATACTGAAATAACAAAAAACGGCCAAAAGGATACGCATAAAAAATTAAACAGCCACTGAAGAACGGAATAAAAGCAATTACAGACCCCAGTAGTGTCCATCTGCAGAGTCGCAGCAGAGAACCAAGCTGCCTGTCGGAAATATTGCATTTATGACATTAACACACATGAACGCCACCACAGTGTCGTATTTACTAGCAGGAAACTCAACAAAAAAAGCGATGATAGCTGCTAAAAACTGTTCAGTTCAGTTATTCATCAGCCAAAACCTTAACACTGCAGGCTGAACCCATCCACACATGGAAACACAGATATAAGCACGTTATGTGATACATATAACTGCATATAAACGTTACTCTTCTCATAAACATCCTCTGCTCTTCACTTTACACGTTACTGTTACAGTAACACAAAACACACAGACTCTCTTTAATGACAGAAAAACAAAAGTAAACCAAAGACATTATTTCCAGTGTATCTGTCTTATTTTCAAACAACACCACGTGAACACAAATCAAGTGGTACTTACGACCTCCGAAGTCATAAGTAGGAACTTGCGAGGAGGACTTGGAGGCAGCGTTAGACCCCACACTTTCAGATCCTGCTGTTTAGGAACTACAGCTGCACTTTCGGCTCTCACAAGTGTGGGAGAAAACGGTGGATTGAGCCTCTACTACATCACTACTACATCACTCTTATTAGATGAGAGAAACAGTTTTAACAGAGAAACTAGGCCTACTTGTGTTTATAGTCACAGTTTTATTTTTTTAGTACTAAAGTGTATCTGCTACTGCAGCCTGCAGATCAGCGCACGCGGGCGTAAATCCTTACTGATTAGCCGCTCGTTCACACGGCCCATCTCTCTGACTGGACTGCACCACAAACTTCATTTAATTTCATGGTTGCGAACGGCTGCCTACCTATGTAATGGACTGCGTAGGTCTTAAAGTAATGACTTCAGCACCCAAACAGTGCATAATGTCTCTAACAAAGAGCCATTTACGATGTAGCCACATGTGCACAGTTCCCTACAGGATATATAGTGCACTACGCAGGGAGTAAGGAGCCACAGTGTTTAAGGGTTTCTAAAATGTTGCATAGTGACTTCCATATCCTAAAACACACCTTATGGTGGCTACTAGGCCTCTCGACCCTATAATGTCATATCCGGAGCGGAGACAGTGGAACTGCGGCTCTGCAGTCAGACCCTTCTCATTACAGAGGCTTGAAATGATGTTGGGCTGTGTGTGATATGAAGAGCTCTGTGGGGCTCACAAAAACGAGGAATGATAAATGGACAGAAGTGGGTTATCAGCTCAGAAGGCAGTGACACGCGTCCGTAGCCTGAAGCTTCAAATCTTGCTGTAGGAGGAGCAGCAGGATCAGCTTGAGTCAGTAAAACGGATGACAAGAGGGATTACAAAGAAAAAAAGAAAGACTAGTGGCTCATAAACATGAAATGTAACCTATTAAAACCGTGTTCCTCTCAGAAATCCTCCATCGTTAGACCCAAACCCCTCACAGAGCTGCTCAGAGCAGAAACAGCACTTACAGCCCGGCCTGTGAGCTGCTTTGTTTAGTGGTGTTGTGTCTCGTGCTCCTCCACCCGAGGAGGCGCGGAACGCTGTCTCGCGCACCTGCGTCATGGCCAGGCGCGGGAAAACATGCAGCTATCCGTCACTTTTATTTGTGGGGCCGCCATGTCCTTGACAGGATCACAGAGACTGCCAAGGCCTCCAACCTGGAGCGAACGGAGGCGGGCTACGAGAGCATGGCTCACTTCACCGTCAACACAGACGACGCCGCCGACACGCTGAGAGCCATCGACTTCCTCACAGGTAAAGATGAAGCATGGAGAATGAGGACTTTTTAGAAGCGCTTTGCTTGTAACTAACATGCTGACTGCCTCAGACTCACCGCCTCACTCACGATGAGCGATTAGGCCTCGAGTTGTTCTTTTTGAAGCATTTAAGGTTTTCCCCCCTCACACACAAAACAAATGACTAGCTGTGCTGTTTTTCACGACTCTCTGCTCTGTTAAACTATGTGTACCTTAAACTTTCTACAATTAAATCACAAAAAAATGGTCGTTGGAAACTCAGAGAAAGCTGCTTTATGAGAAACTTGGTTCTTTAGCTTCATAAACCAAACCTGGGTGTGATCTGAGACTCTGAGCTCTGTTTTATCTGCATGTAAACAAAGTCACTAAAGTAACTTTTTATCATGTGAGAAAATCACTAAAGTTCAGCCTTTTCTCTCTCAGAGCGACGCAGAGAAACTTGTTCATGCGTTTGTTCCAGCAGAGTTGATCACTGTAATGATCTTCTTACTGAACTTCCTAAGAAAACAGTCCATCCTTTACAACTCGTACAAAATACAGCAGCATCAACAGAAACACAGAGAGATCAGATCAGTCCTGCTTTAAAAGAGCTGCACTGACTGTCTGAATCGTTCAGGATAGAGTTTAAAGCTCTGCTACTAGTTTTTAAAGCTCTAAATGACCTTAAAGCTCCGCCTACATCACAGACTGTCTGTTTATGATCTCAGATCTGCAGATACTGACCTACAGACACCTTCAGTAAAACACAGAAAACGTGGAGAGACTCTTTCAGTTATTCTGCTTCTAAACTGTGGAGCTCAGTTCAGCTTTTATTAGACAGTCGAGCTCAGAGCTCACTTTTAATAAACACCTGAAAACGCAGCTCTTTAACTCAGAGCTTCATTAAAACTCTACGTCTCGTGGTTTTTATCTTTAATTTGACCTGTTTTACTTCTGATTCTAAATAAATACTTCAGAATAAATAAAAATAAATCTGTCTGTAAAGCACTTTGAGCCACCATCGTCATGAAAAGTGCTGTATAAATAAAAATTATTGTTATTATTATTATTATTACTACTACTGAAAAGTAGAACCAGTAGAACCATTGGCATTAAAGTCTGGTGGTTTTGCTTTCTAATGTGAACTGGCTTAATGGTTACCATTAGAGACCACTAGTTTCCTTAAGGTCAACTTTAGACCCCATTGGGAAACCATCACCTTTACAATGTGATATCAACCCATCAGGAAAAAACAAAATACCATCAGTGACTACTAGACACCACCAGGAACCAACAGAAACTTCTAATGGTTTCTATGATTTTTCTCCAGCAGAGTAAGCTTTTGATTAAAAAAATTAGCCATATTACAATTTCAACACTGTACCACAGCTCAAACAGCCCACACATTTCTGCTGTAAATGAGAACACAAACACCTAAAGTCTGCGACCAGTTCACCCAAAAGTGGTGTGAGTGCAAATATTACAGGTGGGGTGACCGATGGAGGGGGAAGTGGTATCGGTCACTAAAATGTCTGGTAAATTAATGCAAAACACCGTTAATTCAATACAGGTCTGTGTTGTTTGAACCAGCCAAGCTTTCCACAGTTGCCCTTTCATTTTGGGGTCTCTCGGGAGCGCCCTCTAGTGTCTGACAAACTTAGAAGACATCAGTGAGTGTCAGTTCTCCTCACTAGAAATTCTCTGGGTCAGTCTGAGGCCACATGTGCTGGCATATCTTCATTACTTTATGTATTATTTACTCATTACTATTAATACTAACATTCCATTTTATTATTAAAAGCTAACCAGTCATTGTACATCGTCACTGTCCAAAGAAAAACAAGTATCTCCAAAATAGTAACTTCACAGGAGACGGCAAAACCGTTCTTTACTTTCAGTGTAAGTACTGAATGTGATTTTGGAGCATTTCTGTAGGTCCATGAAATTTTCACACAATAAAAGGGCAGCAGCTCTGCTCAATGTACAAAAATAAAAACTGACGAAAAAGAAGATCCATGTGTTTCTGTGCACAGTGACGACATGTTTAGATGTGTACTGTTACCTAATGACTGTAACTAGTTAACGGCGTGATTTGGTTGTAGTTCATAACAGTGTTGCACATTTTATCAACTACAGCATGAAGAGAACACGACGTTAGAATAGGATGACCTGGTCAACAGATATTTAACAGGGTCTTCCAGTAACGTTCAGAGAGGCTTTAGGTTTAGCTTCACTGTAAAACTGCAGCAAACAAAATGAAGTGATCCCTGAATGTCTGTTAAAGCTTTAAATGTCCATGTTTAAGCTGTAATATATGAATCAACACCGCTGCTTTACTTGATAACATAATATCGTCATTCCCTCCGGGGAGCTAGTGGAAATTATCAATGGTCATCAGTTAAAACAAAAGTCTTTTTAAAGTTTTCGATACACCAACAGTATTTGTGTATTAGCATGTTCACTAATGTCACTTATTGGTTCTGTTTCAAATAGTGAGCCAGTTAAAGCCCAAACCACAGGACCATCAGGCTGATTTTGAGGTTGAGTCACTTCTCCTGATAATCATCCTGATTTCAGACTCGTCTTAAACCTTTATGTTTTCAGGTTATTTTGTAGAGTGGTGTGTGGATATAATCCAATCTCAACCCTTCCATCGACCTGCAGTCCAGTTATGGTTGCACTGATTTTGAATATCCAACATTAAAGATGTTCAGTATTTACAACTCAACGTCCTGTAGTGTGGAGGAAACACAGCCTCATATGAAACATAAGTCACGTGTTGACCAGGTCAGCGGGAGGCGTGAACAGTGTTCAGTATAATTGCGATTAGATTATCTGTGTAAACTGTTAGATTCCATATTGGTTTAAATTCTACCCACCTTGTCTTTGTTAAAGAGATCTTTTTATTATGACATGTGAAACATGCTGTGTGCTCTAGTCTCTCTGGGCGACGAAGGGGACGACGGCTGTGATCTGGATGAAGGGGCTGACGATCAAGCCTGTCTGCCTGGTGTGGGAGGAGAACCAGGGAAATGCTAGGTCATCTGGAGTCTCATGGTCAGTCACAGATAATATAGTTAGTGATAATAAACACACTTTTTGTCCCATGAAAACTAATTTGTTTTGTACATTTTTTACATGCTACCATTAAATATGCTCAGTTTTGTTCCTTCACTCATAGATTTTGTGTGATGGTGGTTATATAGGTAATGCAAAAAATGTGGGCGCTCCTGGCCAAATTACATATTTTGTAGATTTTTTAAGTGAAAAAAGCATTTTTTGGCACATGTTTATACCCAGTTACTTAATATTTGATTAACTTAAAAATATTAACTTAAATATTTCATACTTTTGGCAGGTGTCTCACCTTGCAAACGCTTTTTCTTTTCTTGTTTTAAGAATATTCGCCCACTCTCTGTTACAGAATGCCTTCTTGGGCCGTCATTCATGCAAATAATTTGCTGATATTTAGTAGAATCCATTCTTCCATCCACCATGAAATGTGACCCACAACCCCAAAACATAACAGATCCATCCCCATGGTTAACAGTTGGCAAGGTGTTCTTTTCATCAAATGCTGCTCCTTTTCTTTTCCAAACATACTTTTGGTGATTGTGACCAACAGGGAGACCAAAGAGTTCCAGTTTTACTTTAACAGTACTTGTTTTCTAAATGCCTCTGACTGTGTAGGTGTTATTTTGCAAACTTCAGAGGCTGACTTTTGTGATGAGGTTTCCTTCTGATGACTCCATGTACATCATGTTTGTGTAAGAATGGTGCACCACCACTCCTGTGTCAGCTAAATGTTCCTGCAGGTCATATGGAGGTTTTGCTTTGCCTTTCTGGCAACAGAGGACACGTAGTGACCGCTGAGAGTTTTATTCACTTTCCAGATCTTGCCTTGACTTCGTTACCATTAACTGCCATTTATTAGTGATGTTTTGGACAGTGATAATTTCTGAGCTGGAAGTGCTTTTATTTCTTTTTTAGCCACCTCCTGCTCTGTATGCATCAATTAGCTTCATTTTCAGTGGTTGCTGAGTGTTAGCACAAGGTTTGAAGAGTCAGAGAATGTGTTATCCTCTGGCCTGGTCAACAGATATTTAACAGGGTCTTCCAGTAACGTTCAGAGAGGCTTTAGGTTTAGCTTCACTGTAAAACTGCAGCAAACAAAATGAAGTGATCCCTGAATGTCTGTTAAAGCTTTAAATGTCCATGTTTAAGCTGTAATATATGAATCAACACCGCTGCTTTACTTGATAACATAATATCGTCATTCCCTCCGGGGAGCTAGTGGAAATTATCAATGGTCATCAGTTAAAACAAAAGTCTTTTTAAAGTTTTCGATACACCAACAGTATTTGTGTATTAGCATGTTCACTAATGTCACTTATTGGTTCTGTTTCAAATAGTGAGCCAGTTAAAGCCCAAACTACAGGACCATCAGGCTGATTCTGAGGTTGAGTCACTTCTCCTGATAATCATCCTGATTTCAGACTCGTCTTAAACCTTTATGTTTTCAGGTTATTTTGTAGAGTGGTGTGTGGATATAATCCAATCTCAACCCTTCCATCGACCTGCAGTCCAGTTATGGTTGCACTGATTTTGAATATCCAACATTAAAGATGTTCAGTATTTACAACTCAACGTCCTGTAGTGTGGAGGAAACACAGCCTCATATGAAACATAAAACCCCCATATGATCTACAGGAACAGCTGATCAGCTGACAATTCCTAATGACAATTCTTGATCTACCTTACGGTCCTAATAGTTCAATTAAGGTCTAAAAAGTTTTACCACAATTATTTTTCTATTAAGTTTATCAAATACAAAATTACTGTGAATTAACATCTGTAGATTTTTTAAAATAGTTTGTGGCCGAGGTGTATCACTTCATATCACTTCAAAACAGAATATGCCGTTTGGCCAGCGGTGCCCAGTCTTTTGTATATATAATTGCATAAGTTTGCCTTTGGTCCGGGGTAATTATTATGCTATACATTTGGATTGATGGAGAACTTTGTCAAGGCAGTAGATCAAAATGGCAGAGAACACATTTCTCAGTGGTGCCAAGATCAAAAAAAGGATTTTGTGGGTCCTCAAATTAGAGCAATAATACAAAATGTAAAGTTTAAAAACCAGTGAAGTCCATCAGAAAAAGCAGCATAGCGTCAATCAAGAATATTACTAAGAACGTTTTGGAAAATCATAAAGCCAAAAACTACCATGACTGACCTGCTGACACTGTACAGAGCTCTGGGATGTAAAGTCATAAAAAATACATTCTCTGGACGGTCATCTGGATTTCTTCTCTGAGAGTCTCAGTGCGGTCAGTGACGAACACGGTGTGGGATTTCATCAAAACTTTTCCACCGTGGGAAATTTCATACCATGGGAGGTGGAGACCTGGTACTCTAGCTGACTGTTAGACCATCAGAGGAGATGTTTGAGAAACAAAGTACAGCAGAAAATCAACTACTTTGTAATTAATTAATTACTTTGGAATTACAGTTTGTATTTTAACGCAAATTTGTTTTCTTAAAACCTTTAAATGTGTCAAATACAATGAGAATCACCTTCTTTTGTTCATGTGACAAAAATCCTTTTCTGTCTCCCGGTGTATATGCCCCCACCCCACCCCAACCCCGGTTTGCTGAACTTTATTAGCAGGATGAGATTTGTTCATGTTTGATGATGTGGTGACCTGAGGTCAAGTTCAGCTAATCCCTCTTATGTGTGAATCTTTCACTCGTTTACTGGTTTGAAGGCTTTTTTATTTTCTTTTATGAAAGTCTCCATCTCTCCTTTAACCACACAACGGATTACAAAAGCAAACACGTCACCTCCCACCGAGCTCCATTACATGGGTTCTGCTGACTTAGGACTCTTCAAAGGTGCCATAAATGCTGGGATCAGGTACCCACAGTCTCTCAGCACAATACATTGCACACTGTGTTTATCCCACAAGCTGGCTGTTCACCCCATGGCAAGAACGCTGCACCCTTCAGACCAACGAGCACCGCTGTAGCCCTCACTGTGCATCAAATCACTGAGCCTCAGAGAAGCTGGAGTGACTGATGTTACTGTTGATGAATGGAGATATGATATATTACAGTACACATGAGCTCCGGGATGAATACCTGACATCACTTACCTCCTGAAATACTGGCACAAGATGCTGCTTATTAACTGCCCAGCCGTGTGAATTATTAGGACGCTGCTGTCAGCTGAGACACATGGACCCTTCACGTGTAATGCGTCATGAGCAAAAACGTAGAGCTGCAACATATAAGGACATATATGGAAAGTTCCAAAGGTCATAACTCCAGTGAAGTTTATGGGAGTGTATTCATATGAAAATCATAATCATAATAAAGAGCATTTCTCTTACTGAATAAAATTAATGAACATTTTTCTCGCTGGACTTTAACCTCTTAAAATTCCCAGGTATATTTCACTGTAAGCCTTATTATTCAGTAACTATGTGAACGTCAGTGGAAACTGGCCGAGTTATCGAGTTTTATGCGGCGATGTGGACTCGAGTTAGTGACTCGGACTTGAGTTGCATGTTAACTGATTTGTAACTTTGACTTGTGAAATTTTAACCTGAGCAAAAACACACAAAAAACTGTTTTTGAACTGTTTTTGAATAAAAAAACAAACACAAACAAAAAAATTAGGACCATCAACATGAAGTAAATAAATAAACATTTAATTTCCAACCTTCTTACATGTGGGACTTTGCTACGGTCTTTATAGTAGTGCGGATGCCCAGGCACACTGACTATCGTAGACAAAGTTGTCAGCTAATCTACCTGAAGTTTTTAGTAAGTTACAGTTTATACTTGCTGGCTATCTTTACATCCTTACACCACAGACTAACTGTTCATTTTGCCTCTTTCCTTTAAACACCGCGTTTACTGTGTGTGGTGCTTCAGTTCCGTTTTTCAGACTGAAGGTTTTTCTATAATGAAAGGCTTTTTTTTAAGCCAATCTGAACCTGACAGGTTTCTATTCTACTAAGGACTTGATATTCAACGTGAACCCCAGAGTCTGGAGACTCAACCTGCGTGAATCATCTTGTGAATGTCTGGTTATAGAAGTAAGGGATGGAATCCTGGACCTCCCTGTTCTTCTTATCTGAGTTAAAAGTGTAAAAGGCTTCGTTCAGCCAGGCAGCACAAATCTGCTTTCTGTGGCACGTTTTGAGCAGGAAAGACTTTCTGTAGTCTGAACAGCAAAAGCTACTTAAAATCTGACTTTGTTAACTGGAATTAAGTCACGTTTGTATGTGTTTTTTTTTTATCATTCATTCTGCTGCACTTCTTGACATCAGAATATGCAAGAAGAAAATGATATTTTGCCTGTCTCGCCTTAGTCAGCATATGCACAGCTGTGTCAACCGGTATGGATGTGACAGCAAATGCAGCTGCAGTCAATAACAACACAGATCAGATTTTGACACACGTAATCTGCAGTGTGGACACTCAGTCTAAAAATCAGATTTAAGGAATTGGGTTTACCCCACTGTGTAAACAAAACTATATTATTTTTTCATAGTATAGGAAAACGGGATGGAGTGGAAATGAGGCAACAGGTCCGGCTGAGTTTTACCTTTAAATGTCTGTTTGGTGCAGAAACATGAGACTGTGAGCAGTTTGGTATAAGACACTCAGGCTGAGGTTGTTTTCTTTTGGTTTTCACCGCATGCTGCGCAGTACTTATCCAGGTATGTTTCGATCCTGCTGTAACTCAGGGCAGCAGGATGTGGGAGAGCAGGCGGCCTCCTCAGCGCTCATCAGCTGATTTAAAAGGACTGAACCTACAGTCGTCTTCCAGCCTGGAGCGCAAAGCTGAGGCAGGATCTCAGAACTGTTTCTGGTGGCCTCCTCATTTTTCTCCTCCCTCTCCACACATGGTCCAGCCACGTCTCCACTCTGGGCCATTACTTAATAACTGCCATGGTCGTTATGGTGCTGGGATATATGAGTGTCTGACTGCGCCTGAGCTCACGGGCTCTGACCTTGTCACCGGAGCTGTCGACCTGCTGATGAATTCATGAAGGAGCTCAGGAGAGCGGAGTCGAATTGATTGGAGATCCAGCAGGGTTTCAGCATGTTTACGTATGCAGACCTCCTAAGCTCTGGATCAGAGTGGCGGATGTGGTCGGTCACGAATGACTTTTGGCAACTCTAAGCTGCCATTTTTTTCCAAAAACAAGGGAAAAAAACTCGGGGTAACGGGAGACACTGATTCTGTGAGGGGCAGCCAGTTGTCCATGTGTGTTTAATGCTTACTTGAACAGAAATGATCACCATTTTCTTTGCAAAACAACAAAAGCCAGTGGAGAAGAGTAAAGGGGGCAGTTAAGGCGATCACTGTTTAGAATGTCCAGCGTTTGTGAAAGAATGAAAATCATTTATATAACAAGCAGCAAAGCAAACTCCTCCTTCCTGAAAACAGTGAGCGCTGGTGTCAAAGCACATTTATCGACGGAGCGGCTCCTACTTGTCCCCATTTTTAAGTAAACTAAAAATAGACGCAATCTAATGACACTGAAGATTCCTCCCCCTAAGTGTAGAATTCAACTCATATTTTCTGTTTTTCAGACTCATCTCCAGTCAAGCCTCAGGAGGGAGGAGGTTTTTCTTCCTTAATCCCTCCAACACAAGAGCTGTTCATCCTTTCTTTCATTTGTCTGTTCTGGTTTTGTATTATTCTGTGGATTGAAGAAGCAACATGTCACCACAGTGCAATAAAACACCTCCTGCCTTCCCACACTGTGTATCTGTAACATTGGACTTACTGACTTGTTGACTAAGTTCGTTCTGAATCAGTGAGCATTGAGGAAGCGAGGCTACAGTCATTACTGTGGAAAAGACTCAGCAACACCGCATTGTGTGCCTTTACCATGCTTAGCATACCAAGCTGTGGCACTGAGGGCTATAAACATAGTAGTTTGTGTAGAGACTCTACCATAAAGTATCCGGCCAAAAATAAGTTGCTTAAGGCAAAGCAAGTCTGTCATTTGGACTGCAGTAACATTCAGAGGTCATACTAGAATTTGTGTGATCTGTTTATCATCGTTTCACTAACAAACACGCATTTAGTTTACCAGTGGCACTGATCCAATACCAGGTATCAGTATCAGGCTGATGTCAGCAGAAAACACTGGATATCAGAGGGAAAAAGAATCCAATTCCTGTAACAAATCTGTCCTGAAATAGTGACACACTGTGTGACGTTAGCTGTGCAGTTCTTTCTATGAGGTAGTGGAGTGTTTGAGTAGTTTGATCAGATGCTCATCTGAAGTGCTTCTATTAGAAATACCTCTTTTTTTAAAGAAAAAGTACTGAATCAGTATTAATGCTGATATTGAACGTTTCTATCTGGGTATCCAAATGAAACAGTATCACTGCCATCTCTGGTTCTGTTGAAAGTAATTCCTGATTTTAGACGGCTGAGTCTCTCTGTGAAGGTGTATGATGAAGTGGGATGTAACTGTTTAATGTTTTAGTAATTATTGATTATTCAGTGTTATCTAATTAGCTGTTGCCCTGTGATTTGGTTCTAAACAACCTGCCATATTTCTGTGAATATAATACATAATTACCTGCAAATTAAATGCTCTGACAAACACTTTAGGCTACTGTTTCACTTAGAAGATGGTTTTGTTCCAGGATGAATCAGTGCACAGTTTCAGGCTGATTTAGTCTCTTTGGCCTTTAGAGCAGTGGTCTTTAAACTGGTCATCAGGGCCAACAGACAGTCCACAGTCCTACAACCTGCATAAAGATGGAACAAAAGTGTGGACAGAGTGGGGGGTCCTGATGACCGGTTTAAAGACCACTGCTCTAGAGGCTTTATTGCCCTGACAGAAAAATAACATGACTTTCACTTGAGTAATAATCACCACTTTTTAGTGTTATTTTTTCACACCTTTATCCACGTGATGCACCTTTTTATATTCCATCAGTGATCTTCTCAACACTGATTCATTCAGATAGTGTAATTGCTCAGGGGGTTAACATCTCACGTGCAGTCACCTTCACATTACGTGTTTACTTCACATGATCGTATGTGAAATGCATGTGCAGTTCTGGGTTTGAGAGGTTTCACGCACTTGGAAAAGCATTTGGTATCGTTTATTTCTGCATTTTAATGGAAATACAAAGTTGTCTATGTACTTTTTGCATTATGTCAAGCAGTATATATATACAATATACAGCAGAGCTACACACCACTTCAGAACGCTGTAGGACACAAAAACATGGGGTCATTTATCATGTCTGGTTTTTCAGAAGTGCTACGATTTATTTCCCTCCCCAGCCATGCAGTTCGTGTCACGGCACCGTTCTCGTGCACTTGGTTTTGAGATGAGCGAGATTAAGAAACGCGTTTCTCCATGAAGGCCGAGTGTGATTCACACTGGAGTGGCAGAATCGAGACAGGGAACCCAGATAGTTACAGTAAGGCCACGAAAACCGGGTTTACAATGGTAGAAGAGTTTTTAGCATCCAGGTATCTCCATCTGCACAAACCACAGCTACTGCAGTTATGAAAACCTAACAAACAGAAGAGTCAGATAAGCTCCATGGGACTCGAGTCACCTCCATAAAATCATTCCTTATTTTCTTTAATCAGTTCTGATTAACATAATCTGAGCATGTGATGAACATTAAATGACAAAAAAGGTAACACTGAGTTGACGATTCAAATGTGCATCATTTCCACATGAATAAAATGTATTGCATCCGTGCAATTACTGCCAAAAGTGCAATAAAACAATGTTTTAATATCATATATTTATTCATGAGGGAATAATGGACACATTTAAATCAAATCAATGTAACGCATCACTTTAGGTGGAGCGTAAAAGAGCAAATGTGTTGATTAAAGAGAAACTGAACTACATGACTGATAATCTGTGTAGATGTGGGCTGTGCAGGGGATACACACACACACTCACACACACACACTCACAGACACACATACATACACACTCACACACTCACTCACTCACACTCACACACACACATACATACACACACACACTCACAGACACACACACACTCACACAAACACACACACTCACTCACACACTTCTCGACTCGGCCACGTTTCCCTTAAAGCTCTGACGGCTTCCGGCGACGCATGCTATGCTTTTGTTTTTGTGTTTTTGCAAGAACCTGGAGAGAGAGCGCGCGAGCTGAGGTCTGAGGAGCTGGTCTGGACTCGCCCCCCTTACTTGCCCACCTCGTCCAGGTACTTGCGGTTGAGCTCCGCCTGCTCCCTTTGGTTCTCGATCCGCGCCATTTCGATCATGTTGCGCAGGAGGTGGAAGGTCAGGTCGATGGATATCGGGGGCTCCTCGTTCCTCTTGGAGAAGCCCACGAGCTCCTCGCGCGAGCCGCCCTCATTCTCTCGCCAGAATCCCCTTTCTGGAGCCTCGGCGCTCAACCCCAGCCCCTGTCCCAGCCCCTGTCCCAGCCCCTGTCCCAGCCCCAGTTCTGCTGCAGGTGAGCTGATGGAGGCGCTCCTGTGCGCCGCGGGCTTCCTCTGCTGCAGGTACTGCAGGAGCTTCTCGCCCAGCAGGTAGGACACGGCGCTGTCCCCCGCCCTCAGCAGCACTTCGTCCAGCTGCTTCTTGTACCCGCGGCCGTCAAGAACGTCCAGGTCCCGGGGTCGACACGCGCTGAGTGGGATGTGGGTGGTCAGGAGGACGGCGGCTAGCAGGAGGACGGCGGGCACGGGCTTCATGCTGGACACACGGGCTTCAGACGGAAAGTCGCTGGATTAAAGGGAAAAAGCGTCGACAGACACAGATGAACCTTCAGTCGAACAGTTTTAAGGAAGTTCACGTGAAGATAAACTTGGCAAAAAGGGTTCCTTAAAGAACCCAAACTAGTAACAAGAGTGGAACCCATTTTAGTGCTTTATCGAACCAGTCTTTAAAGTTAGTTACAGAACCATAAACAAGATCTCTGTCACAGAGAAGAACCTTCTAACCATACAAAGAACCTTTTAAAATTCAGATGGTTCTTTGAGGTGTCCCGGTTCTCTACGGACTGAAGAACCTAGTAAAGAGGCTGTGTTTGCAGGTGTGACCCACAGGTAGAGTCATAACACTGTAAAACGGCCTTCAGTGTCTAAAATAAAACATGAAGAATCGACAACAGCACGAGCCGGATCTGCTCTAAATGATCACAACACATTGGCAAAAAAATCGATTTAAAAACTTTCATTCAGTCAACAGTAAATAAATCAGACCAGCTGCAGAAAAACCGCTCTAATGTAAAATCTGACAGCCTTCAAAGTGAAACACAAACAGCTTCGACCACCAAAACATCGGATCAAAGCTGAAACTTACTCTGCTTCTCTGAGGCTTCAGGAGCTCAGACAGACAGGAAGTCTGACTCGGGACTTGGAGTGGACGCGTCGTTCCGAGCGGCTTTGGGAGAGAAGCGCCTGCAGCTGAACCGTTATATACATCCAAGATTGCTCCATTGACGTCAGTGCAAGTGCATAAACCTGCCTGTAAATGAGGAGCGGAGAGTCCGGAAGGTGCCGAGTCTCTGCGGACAGCGGGACGGCAGAGCGCAGAGCGCAGGACGTCGATTTGATAGTTAAAGATTCGGCGCGCGGGATCAACAACAGCATTAATTAAAGGGGTCTCGGAGGCTTTGATGCTTCCTATCAGAACTCAGTGGAGGACCGACAGAACACGAGATCTCGGTTACTCGACACGAGACCGACATGCAGCCTAGAACCTCCAGCCTAGACTTTTAGGAGCTGAAGCTGAAGTTCGTCCTGGGATGTGAGGCTTGGAGAGCGGCTCTCCTCCGGTCTGAGAGATCAGCCGAGCGTGTGTGTGTGTGTGTGTGTGTGCGTGAGGGACTGAGACCTTCTGTCGTGATGCGTTTCTGCCTCAGTGCCCACCGCGAGCACGAGGAGAGCAAAGCGCTCAACGGGGGAAGCGGCGCTGTCCGCGGTGCTGAAACCCATTCGGACCGTAAGAACCAGGACATGACCAGTACTGGGGTAGCAGTGGGCCCAGTTTACAGACTAACTATGAAAGAGTCTCAAACCACAATAATTTGGAAGATGCACACGTGTGTCCCAAAATACTGCAGACAATTTTGTTCCATCATTGTACTTCTTGGAATTTTGGTATTTCTAATAACAGCTGATGATATTAATTCCCCACATTATCCTTTTATAAGTAAACAATCCCATCATTCAGTAAAATCAGCAGCACAACTTCTTAAAGTTCAACAAACATGGTTCAGACAGGGTCGAGGCCGGTGTCGCCGCTGGTTGCGCCTCAGGAGCAGTCGGGGCACATAAGCTTCAGCATGACTATGACCACTGTGACCTTCCAGAATCCCACCGACACCTGTTGGGGGGTTTAATCCTCCACAAAACCAAAACCAAAACCAAAACAAATACACTCAGAACGTTAAGAGAAGGCAATAACATACATTTAAAAGGGTGAGCTCGTGTAAGGCTCTCGTGTGGCCTTAGGGGCTCTTATAAAGTATGAACTACTGATATTGTACCTCATACTTTGTAAGTATGAAGTCTTTTCAAACAACTAGATGTGTATCTAATGTCAAACAATTTATATGACAAGTTTGTCAGGTTTTCGTTCTCACCATAGTACACAGACAGCATTGGTTCACATTGTGAATGACCTCAGGTTCAGTGCTGATGCACAAAATATTTCTGTTCTGGTTTTATTAAATATTAGTGCAGCTTTTGATACTGTTGACCACAAGATTTTAATCCAGCGTTTTGAATGCTGGGTCGGCCTCTCGGGGTCAGTTTTAGAATGGTTTAATTCATATTTAAGTAATAGGCAGTTCATGGTTTCACTTGGAAATCATTCATCAAAAAGATTTGGCATTTCTTGTGGAGTCCTCCAAGGTTCAGTCTTAGGGCCTTTGCTTTTCTCTTTGTACATGCTACCTCTAGGTGATGTCATTAGGAAGCATAATATAAATTTTCATAGCTGTGCTGACGACACCCAGTTATACATTTCTGTTCCTTCTGATGATCAAGACAGACTGACCAGCTGTGTCAGATATTTCTCAGTGGACGTCGCACAATTTTCTGCAATTAAACCATGAAAAAACTGAAATACTGATTGTTGGTACAGAAACTCAGAGAAAGCTGCTTTATGAGAAACTTGGTTCTTCAGCTTCATAAACCAAACCTGGGTGTGATCTGAGACTCTGAGCTCTGTTTTATCTGCATGTAAACAAAGTCACCAAAGCAGCTTTTTATCATGAGAGAAAATCACTAAAGTTCAGCCTTTTCTCTCTCAGAGCGACGCAGAGAAACTAGTTCCTGCGTTTGTTCCAGCAGAGTTGATCACTGTAATGATCTTCTTACTGAACTTCCTAAGAAAACAGTCCATCCTTTACAACTCGTACAAAATACAGCAGCATCAACAGAAACAACACAGAGAGATCAGATCAGTCCTGCTTTAAAAGAGCTGCACTGACTGTCTGAATCGTTCAGGATAGAGTTTAAAGCTCTGCTACTAGTTTTTAAAGCTCTAAATGACCTTAAAGCTCCGCCTACATCACAGACTGTCTGTTTATGATCTTAGATCTGCAGATACTGACCTACAGACACCTTCAGTAAAACACAGAAAACATGGAGAGACTCTTTCAGTTATTCTGCTTCTAAACTGTGGAGCTCAGTTCAGCTTTTATTAGACAGTCGAGCTCAGAGCTCACTTTTAATAAACATCTGAAAACGCAGCTCTTTAACTCAGAGCTTCATTAAAACTACATCTCTAATTTGATTATTTCATTTTCTTCTGATTCTAAATTAATACTTATAATTTCTTGTATAACTATGTTTTATCACCTGTCTGTAAAGCACTTTAAGCTGTCACCAGCATGAAAAGTGATATATAAATAGAACGTATTACGATTATTATTATTATTATTATTGTGTGTACCAGCAACATCAACTGACATACGGTGAGGAAACTTTCCCTTAACTTAAAGAAACAAGGTGGACATTAAGTTACTTTTCAAGGCTTTGAAAACACTTAATACTGAATAATTTGATCATATATTTAGTTGTTTCTGTGTAGTCTTCTATTAAACATATGTTTTCTGATTTTCTCCCAAAAAAAAAGAATAAATTTGATTTATATTTGATTTTTATTTTCCACAAAAATGCTAACATGTTGAAGCTCAGACTGTGCAGGCCTAAAGCAAAATCCACTTATCAAGCTCACTTGTGGTAATAATATGTTGGAAAAAGCTTTGAAAAAAACTACAAGAGAGCAACATTCATTATTTAGGCTTTAATGGTGATCTTAGCAGTTACAGTCTGGAGTAAAGATGTCTACCTGCCTAGTACTGACCTAATGAGAGGTGAACACTAGCAAACTTGGCTGGTATTCAAATAATACTGGAACGGTGGTGTAAAAAATCAGTTACCACAAACAAAGTACACTGTAAATGTTTGTTCAAGTGGCTTTTCTCCAAGTCTGTATTAAAAAAGGACAAAGTCATAGTAGCTTAGTAAAGAACTCTTTACATCAATATCAGGTGTACAAAAATGTGTAATCTTTGTATAAAGAGTTTAACGATCATTTAATTAAAATATTGCATCACAATTACTCAGGTTATAAAAAAAAATAACCAGAAAGCAATGAATTATATCTGTGTATTCACAGCTCGTGAGTGTGTAAACTATAATATCCTCTTTTTACACAATGAGGTTCTGTTCTAAAGTTTATCATGATCAATTATGTCAAATTCCAACAGAGTCCTACTTTACTGATATAAGGAGAGGGACTATGGGAAGTGTCACTATAACTTATTGGCCTTCCAGGAAAGGTAGGAATTCCAGACCACAGCAACAATCTGGACAACGGCTAACCTGCAAATCACAGAAATTTCAACATCAGACATTTGGGAATAAAATTCTTTTACATGGAAGTAAAACTAGTTTTTAAATACGCTACAGACGCCTGAAACGGTGTTTTACCATAACTCTGTGATAAGGTTTATCACATTATCATTAACTGTGATAAGGTTTTGGCCTAAAACATCATTTTAAAAATTCATTCATGACAGAGAGGCACATGCAGGGTGTCATAAGGCAAAATAGTCCCAAAAGAAAACTTTTTTTCATGTTCAGTTCTTTCACCACACTCAGAAATGAGTGTGGATAATGAAGTCGAAAGGCATTTACTCACCTGTGGTGAAGTGGGATGAAATAAAAATTGGCAATCTGAACAGCTGGCCACAGCTGTTAAAGAGCCAAAATAAATATGGGTGTTAGTTTGAGCACGCTGGCTTTGAAATGTATAAAAATGCAAAAAAAAAAGCACAGAATTCATGGTAAAAGGACACAATAATGGAAACACCAGGCTATATATGGATATGTCAATAATGCAAACTTTGGCTGACTTTTGTCTTCAGATACTGCTTGAAATGTGTTTGAACAATTTCTGGTGGGAAATTGGATCATTTTTCAAGAAGAACTGACCCAATATCTCACTGAGGAGCTGAGGGTTCCCAAAGACTCTGAGAACTGCAATAAGCTGGATGTGATCAATCATATTATTTGCTTTGTCACAAGGTGAACCTCTCACACAGAAAATGGCCATAAATTCACTTTTTTGATGAGTTGATAAGTTCACATCTTTTTGTTTCCAGTTTTAATTAAGGTTTTATACTGACCCAAATTCTCAAACAGGTTCTTTAAAGCCTCTGTCAGTTTTAACATTTATATTGGTTTAATTGGTCACTTCGGAATATGTTTTTATGTGTACAAACTTACATAATAATTGGAGATCAAGGCGTCCATATAGTCCTGAGGAGAGTGAAAGAATATGTTAATCCATATCTGTCACATGTGAACGTGTTAATACATCATAAAACAATACAACATTATGTAAAAATGACTTGTAAAACGATGTTACTGATGAGGCAGGCTGACAAATCCATGAATCAAAAGTAAAAATCCGTGTAGTAAGCTTGAACGGGAAATTTCAGAATTTTTAAAAACGTTCTGCTGAATTTAACTGCTAAGAAGTAAACAAAGTCGTTCAGAGTAAACTGATGTAAAACGCTTCGTTCTCAACAAATTTACAGAACCAGAACTGTTCAAAGTGTAGTGAAAGGAACCAGATGTTCCTCTAAAAACTCTCCCACCGAAAGTTACTACACAACATGGTTACAAACGCTGCATGATACCCAAGACACTGTTTTACAATAGCCTTGTGATAAAGTTTTGGCCTAAAATGTCATTTTTAAAATTCAGATATAGTGGAGAGATACATAGAGTGTGTTGTGAGGCAAAATAGTCCCCAAAGAACCCTTTTTAAACAATTTACCACTATTTTACCACCATTAATATCACTCAAAGATGTGTAGGTTCACTGGTCATTTTGAGTAATAAATAAAATGCCTATATATTGCGTCCCTGATGCCTGGTTCCCATCAACATCACTGTACAGAAAACCAAACCACACTCTGAATGACTTTGTTTACATATCAGCCACTGAATTATACAGAAACTTTGAAATATAGGTGGAATTAACTTTTAAGAACCACAAACATTGTGTGAATCTTTTAGTTTTTGGATTGTTCACTCTGCTGTAGTCGTACCCCAAACCTTATAGAATCTGAATTACATCACAGCTCATAACGTCCATCCTAACCCAGCCTGAGGGGATCGGTCCAGACAGTGTGGTGTTGTATCTACCAGCCAAACGTTCCCAGCGGATATGAAGCGGGGGTCCACGACCAGCTCCTCCTCAACAGCCTTATAAAAACGAACTCATTTGGAACAGCAGCGTCGTGTCACTGACAATCGCAATGTTTTGAAAGGTCAGCTGTGCAACAGTCTATAAAAAGAAGTCTGTTTTTGGGGAGTTGTGTTTTTTCGCCTGTGTTCTTTGCCTTAACAGTTTCTAATTAAGAGTGAACAAGACGGTGACCACCTGGGGTGAACCTGCTCCAGGTGAGACACGCCTTCGCGACGTTTCCTTAAGTTTGACGTCACACTGATTCAGCTCTGCAGGGTCACACGGAAGACTACAGCACAACGCAGCAAGGCAGAACAGAAGACGGTTCATAATGTGACTGAATTATTCCTCGTCTCCATCGGCAAAACACTTCAAAGACTTCCTGGATCTTCTGGAGGCGAGCCTGAGGGAACAGCAGTAACAAACTCCCCAAGAGCAGGCTTCTTAAGTCCACAGCAGGAACAGGAAGTTCACTATTTTCACTATTTTTGTGTCCTGAAATTCAGGCTCTTAAATGTTATGGAAGTGCGTCAGGCCTGAACTGCTTAGCGTAATTTACTCCTATTAATAGAAATGTCATCAACTGTGGAGTCAAAGCCCAGTAATGAGCTGCCAGTCACTTACAGTGGGGGTAACAACAACAACAAGCTTGTGCATTCTGAGACTGTAAAAGCCAGTCGCCAATAGTTTCTGTCAGCTCATTATGGTCTAGTATACGTTTTGGCTCCATAAAGCCTCCAACAGCTCCTAATGAGAGCAATAACGCGCGGATGAATTGTTTGTTGTTAATCTTTGTTGTCCTCACAGCTAAATGTGTACTTGACCTTTCCAGCAAACATCGACTACGGGGCGAAGCCAGTATGCCAGTATGACCCTCATCCAGCGCAGTAAAGGAAGATAGAGAGTTTAGTGGGGATACGTAACCTAAATCTCACCTCATGAGCTGTGAGGCCACAACGCACAGGGGCAAATACAATTAGTCTTGTAGTAAATTAACTCATTCCCATGGCACGATGCTCGATGTGGATAGTAGTTTTAATCATCATGGCTGTTAGATGAGATGAGGACAGACTCCACTGACCAACGGCCTTCCGATTCCAGGATGCTCTGTAGCAACCGTCCCGACATCTGGCCCAAAGGAGGCATTCGCCATGATTGCCTTTCACCTTGCATTTCATTTCACATGAGCCGCTACCTTAATGAGCGCATTTGTCATCCGTTTTCTGTCTTTTCTGACATTTAGGTGATCGACCTTTCAGCCTCATTTTAACTCAACCACCTTCCTTACATAAATAATTGATGGCCCAGGCTGAGAGAGCAACGCTGCGTCAACTCCACCCCCACCTGCAACTGAACGCATGAGTCACCAAACACTGGTCAACCCGTCCTTTTCACCATCAGCGGAAATGGTTTCTAATTATACCGCGAGAATCTGGGGGCCATCCCCACTGCTCAGGACAGACAGTTTCAGGCGGTACCCAAAGGTCATTTAGGTTTACACGGCCCCGTCATCAAACAAACATCTATTCTGAGCTGCAGCATCGTACGACGTGGAGCTGAAAGTACTGTGGAAAAGGATGTGTAGCACACTGACCCTCTTGAGCTTAGCTACGTTCTCTTCCACACTCAGCCCGTTGAGAGTTCCAGAGATTCCTAGGAAGGTGCCGAGAAAACATGGAGCGAAGCAAACCTGCGAACAAAGAGAAGCCTGATTGCAGACAGCATCTCACTGACATCAACAGCAGTTCTACATAAAAGTCTGAGAAAACCTTTCATTTTTAATTTTGTCAGCACAGCCAAAAGGTACAAGTTATTCATTTTGCAGTGCCAGAAAAAAAAACAGAAATATATGTATTTCACCAAAAACTACACAGAAACCTCAACAATAAAATATATCAAAATTTTCAGTATTTGTTTTGTTCACACTTTCAGTTCAGAAGCTGGTTGTATTTTCTTCTCACAATCCACTTAATCTCAAATACAGTGATGTTAAAGTCTGGACCTCTGAGAAAACCAGCAGCTTCTTTGATTTGAGGTTCTTTTTTGTCTGTTTCCTTTTCTCAGTAAGAGCTTCTTAAAGCTACACATCCTTTCAGACCCACAGCGCTGAGTCGTCTTCTCACAGTGGAAGGATGGACAGAAACACCTGTGGATGTTTTCAGATCTGAAGCTTATTTTCATTTTTGCTTCCCCTTCTTTTGCAATCAGATTATCTTATACCTGAAAATATCTCCTGAAAAACTGAGTAACGTATATGAAGTACTGTAGGTCCACCTTTATGGACGAATACTGTCAAAGCTGAAATCTACTTTAAACTATTACACGTAATTACCTGCATTTTCATCGATAAGACACTTGACTAATATTTGCGCTCATCATAAAACTTGACATCAAGCAAACTCTTGTTCCCACAGAAATGAGATAATTGCTGTGAGTGTTTTAGCCTCTCAGAACCATGACAGGGTAAAAGCAGACGTATTTAAAGGCTTCTGCGTAAAAGCTTTTTGTGTATTTCATCAAAAACCTCGAGCAGATATTTCACAGAAAATTAAAGTCAACAACCCAAGCAGTAAATCTGAAGAACCTGCTTGTTAGGGTTGCATCAGATTTACATCAGTCTGTACTAAACTCCTCTCTGAAAGAAATATGAAAAAAGTTTTTGTTATGTTGTTTTATCTTACAGCGAAATAAGAGAGAACTAAACTAATTTTGCCTGAGGAAAAAAATATTTTAAAACTGTGTCAATTACTGACATCGAGACTTTTGATTCAAGGTCAAATGAGGTTGGAGACCACATATAAACACATTTAAACACATATAAACACGTATAAACACATTTAAACAAACATAAACACGTATAAACACATTTAAACAAATATAAACATATATAAACACATTTAAACATATAGAAACACATTTAAACACATATAAACAAATATAAACATATATAAACACACATATAAAAATTCCTCCAGGAAAATTGTTTCCAAACACTGCAGAGTTCCTGGTCCTCCTTTGTGGACTCTTCAGCTCATTCCACAAATTATCAAAGAGGGTCAAAGCGAGGGGACGAGGGTGACAACTGCAAAAGCTTGATTCTGTGGTTAGTGAACATTTTTGTGTAAACATGTTCCTGTTGTAAGATCCAATCACAGCCCAGTTTCAGCAGAGGCAGCACAGACATTGATCTGAAATCTCTTGATACTAGATGGAGTCTATGATGCCTTTCAGCCCAATAAAAATGTTCCCAGCACCACAGGAACAGCCCCACACCAGCACAGATCTACCCTCACACCTCACAGAGGGGACTAGATTATTTTCTGCATGACCTTGACTCGTTTCCACCAACTCAAAAGGTTCTATTTTTGTCTCACCTGACCAGTAAAATCCCAATTAAAGGTTCAGTGATATTAAACAAACTCCAGGCGCTTTTATCACAGGAAGGGTGAAGCCTCTCGTGGCTTATTGCTTTATTATACTTGTAGGAAGATGCACAAAAAATACAAAGGCCACAAAGTGCCCATCTCCAAAATCTCAGAGCTGTGTGTCAGGTAAACACGATGATCTGGTAGTGCTGGGGGGGCGGGACGAGGCCAAAACACCACTCCACACAAACCATGAACAAATCAAAATGGAGCAGTTTGAGGATCTGCTGGCAGAGCAGTACGACATCACACACATTCACACAAACTATCTTTAAAACTTCACAAAAGCAGTAAAGTGAGCATTAATTCTTGCAGAGTGAGGAAAAGCAATACTTCTCTTACCAGATCTATACAAAAACATACTTATCTATACATTTTTCACAGCAGATCTTTTGGGAGCAGGAAAATAGGTCTCTAAAATTAGCCTCCGGATCTTTTTTTTGGTGAAAAAGGTAAAAATATCCAAGCATGGGAGGCTGCCGTGTTTGTAATCCGTTTGCCTAGAAAGGACCGTACTTGCACGTCTTTGTCTCTCTCATCCTGTGCATTCTCTCCTCCTAAATCATGTTTGAAAAGAATTATGCAAGCATCCGCTCATTCTACCACTTGTCAAGGCGAGGATTAGTTGACATGCACGGAGGGGGGTTTGCACCCGAAGGGCTGAAGCACAGCTAAACTGATAAACAGCAGCTCTATAAGCATTTCACACGTGTCTGCGTTCTTTAGGCAACTTACTGACGGGCATCTCTGACGACACCTTGCCTCAGGTGCATCCATAGCCTATTTAGAACAACTACGACTAATTTGTACAGGGATCTCAGAAACACTCCCAAATACAGAATTTAATTCTAACATGCATTTTTCAAATCTCATCCTTTAGCTTTATGAAAATGTATCTACTAAATTTTGGATAGAAAAAATCAGACTTCTTACTGTTTTGTTGCTTCAAGCAGTAAACCTCGTATGTTATTAGTGTCTGAAAACATAAACCTTCATGAGTGTGGATGTAAAGCGACAGGTAAAAACTGGATACAAATTCAACAGCTACCTATATTCACCATAATTTGCCACAAACTCTAAAGGCTAAAGACTGAAGGCCCCCTTAATCCAGTTTCCCCCCTTAAATCTGACAGTTTCTGACTGTCAGGTTCTGCTTAAATACTCTTAAGATGTTCAAGAGTCAGACATTATTCAGTAATCCAGTCCTTTTCGGATTGGATTCGTTGATCAGGGGGACATTTATACTTTTTCATTTACTTCAGTGCCAAGGTTCTTGCTTACACACAGCAATATAATAACTGCAGGCCTACTGAGTTATGTTTACTAGAGGGTTATATTTTCTGCAAACCCAGAGATTCACATTATATGTGGCCAAATGAAAACTAGGAAACTAAAAGTTGATGATTTTGTAAATATAAAGTAATGCTTTATACCTGTAGCTGCCATTATAATCGCCCCTATAATCAGCCTGTGGGGTCTCACTTTTCAGATGGACTGTATTTGCTTTCTCCTCCAGCTAATGCTCCCCCAGTGTGGAGAGGACTGCAACAACAACTAACAGGAAATGCTTGAGAGACTCTTCCAAAGTGTAAATCATTTTACGATTCAGGAAGTATTCAATATGGATACGTGCAGTAGGAGAATAAGTATGGTGAGCAGCAGGAGTATTAAAAAAAAAAAATCACAAAAAGAAAAAAGATTCTAAAATGAGATGGGATATAAATTCAAATTCAAATAAAAAAACAAATCAAAACAAAAACAAACAAACAAAAAAAAACTTCAAAAAAAAAAGATCAAAGGAAGAACAGAAATCAAAACGATAATGACTGACCTACAGCAAGCTGACGGAAGAGTAAACACCGGTGTCGTGTTGCAGTCCTGGACAGAGCTAAGCAGTGGTGACAGGATAGATGGGCACACTGGGCTTTTTAGGGGATCCGTCAATATAAATTATAGTTAAAAGATCTAAAGCTTGTATAAAAGAACATATGAAAATTTCACAGAACATGTAACGAACCAATAACTATGAAAATAACATTTAAATAGTATTATTCTACTTACATACTTTCTTTTGTGTATTAAGTATGAACCCTGAAAAAAAAATTAAGGAAGAAGAAAATATAAACACTTAATGGAGTCGGGCTGAACGATGGCCTTTACTTTTATTTTTAAGTACACCACAACATTTATTTCTTCAGACCCGAAGCCCGAAAGCTGAATGTAGTGTAAGACCTCCAGTTCATGATCTCCGTGTTACCAGGTTACGTTCAGCCAATTAAAAGTGTAAGACAATTTTAATTAACATACGATAAAATTTAACTTGCAGCTCCTGCAACCTTAAAAAATTTGCACCTTTTTTATTGAAATTTTTCATATAAAAATGATTAATTGTTTAGTCTTGGACTGAAGCACATGGCTGTTGGTGTTACGGTCACTGTCAGATTTGGCCTTAAGGTTTTGCACAAATTTAAAGTGATTTGACGCATTTGCTTCATCTGCTCACTAGAAAGCCATAATATAGCTATCTGAGTTCGACCAGCGACTGTGTAGCACAGCAGCAGGCAAACAGAACGACAGCAGAAAACATCACGGCTTCTAAAGAAGCGTTTCTGACACCATTTGAATGCAGCATTAAAACTACACAAAGTTCAAAGAGGCTGCCATGTGGGAACAACCCAGGTGAGCACAATACAGTGAAGCTTTCCCTAATTCACTTCAACCTGACAGGCAAACCCCAGTTCCCTGGGAGCCTCTCTCCCCAGAACTACATCATCAAGAACCCCCAGCTTCCAACTATAAATGCCAAATTACAGCGGGGAGCACCGCTGCACTGTCAGCCATGGGTTTCAGCAGGTGCTCCCTTGGAGAGAAGAATGAGGATCGTGCTGAATTCCAAACAGAAGGCAGGTTGTCTGCCTTCCAGAAAGCATGGTGAGAGAAGGTAAAGGTGGCCCAGCTCTGCTGTCTGACCTTTAGAAAATCAAGAGTCCTGGAGATAAACTGTTCAACAACAGCCTGTCGAGCCACTCGCTGAGCTAACGGTACGCTAAACACCTAACACTGGACAGACTCATTTCCATAGTGTGGTCACCTGATCTGATCTATTAATTTAGTTAGAACTTGAGCTGACAGAAGTTTTACAGGAAAAAATGAACAAATAATAAGCTGTACATTTCTTCCTCATTCTGTTTGAAAGGAAGGAAGACACCACTAAATTTCTAAGATTAGCTAACAGACTAATCCACTAATTACCTTTAAAACTGAA